CCCCTCACATCCTATCATAGATCCATGCTCACGTCATCACACTGGTTTGTGGCCTCACATCCTGTCATAGATCCATGCTCACACCATCACACACTGGTATGTCATCTCACATACTGTCATGGATCCATGCTCACACCATCACCATCTGGTTTGTCATCTCACATACTGTCATGGATCCATGTCACACCATCACACACTGGTTTGTCCCTCACATCCTGTCATGGATCCATGCTCACACCATCATACACTGGTTTGTCCCAACACATCCTGTCATGGATCCATGTCACACCATCACACACTGGTTTGTCCATACACATCCTGTCATGGATCCATGCTCACACCATCATACACTGGTTTGTCCTCACATCCTGTCATGAATCCATGTCACACCATAACACACTGGTTTGTCCATACACATCCTATCATGGATCCATGATCACACCATCATACAGTGATTTGTCCTCTCACATCATGTCATGGATCCATGTAACACCATCACACACTGGTTTGTCCCTCACATCCTGTCATGGATCCATGATCACACCATCATACAGTGATTTGTCCTCTCACATCATGTCATGGATCCATGTAACACCATCACACACTGGTTTGTCCCTCACATCCTGTCATGGATCCATGTCATACCATCATACACTGGTTTGTCCATACACATCCTGTCATGGATCCATGTCACACCATCACACACTGGTTTGTCCATACACATCCTATCATGGATCCATGTCACACCATAACACACTGGTTTGTCCATACACATCCTGTCATGGATCCATGATCACACCATCATACAGTGATTTGTCCTCTCACATCATGTCATGGATCCATGTAACACCATCACACACTGGTTTGTCCATACACATCCTGTCATGGATCCATGATCACACCATCATACAGTGATTTGTCCTCTCACATCATGTCATGGATCCATGTCACACCATCACACACTGGTTTGTCCCAAAACATGCAGTCATGGATCCATGCTCAAACCATCAGACACTGGTTTGTCATCTCACATCCTGTCATGGATCCATGTCACACCATCACACACTGGTTTGTCATCTCACATCCTGTCATAGATCCATGCTCACACCATCATACACTGGTTTGTCCCAACACATCCAGTCATGGATCCATGTCACACCATCACACACTGGTTTGTCCCTCACATCCTGTCATGGATCCATGTCACACCATCACACACTGGTTTGTCCTCTCACATCCTGTCATGGATCCATGTCATACCATCATACACTGGTTTGTCCCTCACATCCTATCATGGATCCATGCTCACACCATCACACACTGGTTTGTCCCTCACATCCTGTCATGGATCCATGCTCACACTGTTTTGTCCCTCACATCCTGTCATGGATCCATGCTCACACTGGTTTGTCCCTCACATCCTGTCATGGATCCATGCTCACACTGGTTTGTCCCTCACATCCTGTCATGGATCCATGTCACACCATCACACACTGGTTTGTCCCTCACATCCTGTCATGGATCCATGCCCACACCATCACACACTGGTTTGTCCCTCACATCCTGTCATGGATCCATGTCACACCATCACACACTGGTTTGTCCCTCACATCCTGTCATGGATCCATGCTCACACTGTTTTGTCCCTCACATCCTATCATAGATCCATGCTCACACCATCACACACTGGTTTGTCCATACACATCCTGTCATGGATCCATGATCACACTATCATACACTGGTTTGTCCATACACATCCTGTCATAGATCCATGCTCACACCATCATACACTGGTTTGTCCCCTCACATCCTGTCATGGATCCATGCTCACACTGTTTTGTCCCTCACATCCTATCATAGATCCATGCTCACACCATCATACACTGGTTTGTCCTCTCACATCCTGTCATGGATCCATGCTCACACTGTTTTGTCCCTCACATCCTATCATAGATCCATGCTCACACCATCATACACTGGTTTGTCCTCTCACATCCTATCATAGATCCATGCTCACACTGTTTTGTCCCTCACATCCTATCATAGATCCATGCTCACACCATCATACACTGGTTTGTCCTCTCACATCCTGTCATGGATCCATGCTCACACTGTTTTGTCCCTCACATCCTATCATAGATCCATGCTCACACCATCACACACTGGTTTGTCCATACACATCCTGTCATGGATCCATGATCACACTATCATACACTGGTTTGTCCATACACATCCTGTCATAGATCCATGCTCACACCATCATACACTGGTTTGTCCCCTCACATCCTGTCATAGATCCATGCTCACACCATCAGACACTGGTTTGTCATCTCACATCCTGTCATAGATCCATGCTCACACCATCACACACTGGTATGTCATCTCACATCCTGTCATGGATCCATGCTCACACCATCACCATCTGGTTTGTCATCTCACATACTGTCATGGATCCATGTCACACCATCATACACTGGTTTGTCCCAACACATCCTGTCATAGATCCATGTCACACCATAACACACTGGTTTGTCCATACACATCCTGTCATGGATCCATGATCACACCATCATACACTGGTTTGTCCTCACATCCTGTCATGAATCCATGTCACACCATAACACACTGGTTTGTCCATACACATCCTGTCATGGATCCATGATCACACTATCATACACTGGTTTGTCCATACACATCCTATCATGGATCCATGCTCACACCATCACACACTGGTTTGTCCCCTCACATCCTGTCATAGATCCATGCTCACACCATCATACACTGGTTTGTCCCCTCACATCCAGTCATGGATCCATGTCACCACACCATCACACACTGGTTTGTCCCCTCACATCCTGTCATAGATCCATGCTCACACCATCATACACTGGTTTGTCCCCTCACATCCTGTCATAGATCCATGCTCACACCATCACCATCTGGTTTGTCATCTCACATCCTGTCATGGATCCATGATCACACTATCATACACTGGTTTGTCCATACACATCCTATCATGGATCCATGCTCACACCATCACACACTGGTTTGTCCCCTCACATCCTGTCATAGATCCATGCTCACACCATCATACACTGGTTTGTCCCCTCACATCCAGTCATGGATCCATGTCACCACACCATCACACACTGGTTTGTCCCCTCACATCCTGTCATAGATCCATGCTCACACCATCATACACTGGTTTGTCCCCTCACATCCTGTCATAGATCCATGCTCACACCATCACCATCTGGTTTGTCCCCTCACATCCTGTCATAGATCCATGCTCACACCATCATACACTGGTTTGTCCCCTCACATCCTGTCATAGATCCATGCTCACACCATCACCATCTGGTTTGTCCCCTCACATCCTGTCATAGATCCATGTCACACCATCATACACTGGTTTGTCCCCTCACATCCTGTCATAGATCCATGCTCACACCATCATACACTGGTTTGTCCCCTCACATCCTGTCATAGATCCATGCTCACACCATCACCATCTGGTTTGTCCCCTCACATCCTGTCATGGATCAATGTCACACACTGGTTTGTCCATACACATCCTGTCATGGATCCATGCTCACACCATCATACACTGGTTTGTCCCAACACATCCAGTCATGGATCCATGTCACACCATCACCAACTGGTATGTCATCTCACATCCTGTCATGGATCCATGCTCACACCATCACACACTGGTATGTCATCTCACATCCTGTCATGGATCCATGTCACACCATCATACAGTGATTTGTCCTCTCACATCCTGTCATGGATCCATGCTCACACCATCACACACTGGTTTGTCCCCTCACATCCTGTCATGGATCCATGTCACACCATCATACAGTGATTTGTCCTCTCACATCATGTCATGGATCCATGTCACACAATCACACACTGGTTTGTCCATACACATCCTGTCATGAATCCATGCTCACACTTGTTTGTCATCTCACATCCTGTCATGGATCCATGTCACACCATCACACACTGGTTTGTCCCTCACATCCTGTCATGAATCCATGTCACACCATCATACACTGGTTTGTCCTCTCACATCCTGTCATGGATCCATGTCACACCATCATACAGTGATTTGTCCTCTCACATCCTGTCATGGATCCATGTCACACCATCACACACTGGTTTGTCCATACACATCCTGTCATGGATCCATGTCATACCATCATACACTGGTTTGTCCCTCACATCCTGTCATGAATCCATGTCACACCATCATACAGTGATTTGTCCTCTCACATCCTGTCATGGATCCATGTCACACCATCAAACACTGGTTTGTCCATACACATCCTGTCATGAATCCATGTCACACCATCACACACTGGTTTGCGCCAACACATCCTGTCATGGATCCATGTCACACCATCACACACTGGTTTGTCCCTCACATCCTGTCATGGATCCATGCTCACACCATCACACACTGGTTTGTCCTCACATCCTGTCATGGATCCATGCTCACACCATCACACACTGGTTTGCGCCAACACATCCTGTCATGGATCCATGCTCACACCATCATACACTGGTTTGCGCCAACACATCATGTCATGGATCCATGTCACACCATCACACACTGGTTTGTCCATACACATCCTGTCATGAATCCATGTCACACCATCATACAGTGATTTGTCCTCTCACATCCTGTCATGGATCCATGTCACACCATCACACACTGGTTTGTCCTCACATCATGTCATGGATCCATGTCACACCATCACACACTGGTTTGTCCATACACATCCTGTCATGGATCCATGTCACACCATAACACACTGGTTTGTCCCTCACATCCTGTCATGAATCCATGTCACACCATCATACACTGGTTTGTCCTCACATCCTGCCCATTTCAAGATTCATAAATATCAATCACCCATTTTCTTCTCAAGTACACACAACAGGATGGACAAACAAATATATAAAGATAGCAAAAGAATCACAACTAGGTGGGACAAATTTCAAGATTTATTCAAGTGAAATAGAGAATATTTCATCAGTATTTCTAACAACTGGATTTGTATATTCATAAATCTTTTGAACAATGAAATGACTATGCAGTATGGGTGAATACAAGGACTGGGGGATTCCAAATATAAAGAATGATATACAGTGAAAGATGGCACGTCAATGGGATGATATAGCCTGTATTGCCTCCATGACATGGGATGAACTTGATACAATGAGAATGGCATGTGTTGTAATCCAGACAATGGCTGATGTTGTTAACTGCCTTAGTCATAATAAAACACACTCTTTGTACACCTCTGTTCATATCCTGACAACATAAAAGTAAGTATTCAACATGCTTTGTCAACCTTGAAAATAAGGACCAATGCAACAAATGCTCAAGATGTGGAGATAACGTATTTCTTATGCTTACTTTTATGATGCTTACATAACTGAATGGCACTCTGTAAGTTGTATGTGATACAAGCAATGGAGTGGATAGCAATAACACTTCATTGCTAATTTGCTAGATACATTTTATTCACTGATCTGAAGATTTGGTTTTCCAAAGAAGAGGGAAATAACATTTTCTTAAAATGCCTGAACAAATTGTTTTATTCCTATGTATGTTTTCAAGTATCTTTCTGAAAACAAAAAAAGAAATAGAAATGTGTCCTGATGATTTTCTTAATTGATCACAACTGTAAATGAATATACAGGTGCTACCTTTCACCGGGTTTTGTACAGTCCATCAGTGAGGAAAGTGAAGAGTATCATAACCCAATTGCTGTAGCCCTGTATTAACAGGGTCACAAAAGATTTTGTTTTATTTCAACTTGTTCTAAAAAAAAATATGACATCCTACAAAACAAAACCTACATCAACCTAATGGTACAAGTGCCACTTGTACCTCCTGAATGTCACTTGTCTCAGGCTAATGGACAGGTGTACTTATATAAATCTGTTAAGAACATCTAAGCCTGCAAAGGTGGAGGAGACAAGAAGTAATTACGCTTTTGAAAAATACCTTTCCCTGTTAAAACCCTATTGTCTTCATTCATTAACTTGGGGGGCAATTTTGCACTCTACAGTATGTGAACAAAAATTTGGAACACTTTTTGTCAGCACCATATCAACAAATAAATATTTAATATATATGTTCCACTACAATGGCGTTTGAATGTTTGTTACTTGAAATAATTCTGATGGCTTGTGCAAAAGTAGGAGGTAAGAACAATAAGAGTGAGTGTGACTGAGTTGGGTTTAACGCCGCTTTTAACAGTGTTCCAGTTATATCACGGCGTGTCAGCTTAATGTGGGAGGAAAGCCCGAAGTGATGCAGGTCAAAGACGTTTACCACTTCGGTGAAACCCACAAGCATGGGTATGGTGCTGACAAACCTAGAAATATAATTGGGGTGAACTGGGATTCGAACCCACAATCATAGGTTTCTGGCATGCCCAAGGGACGCAACTCTACACAGCGAATCGCGGCACCTTTAGACGACCGGGCCACCCGGGCCCCCAAGAACAATTAGAAGCTATGTATGCCCTGAAGTCAAACTCCATGGATGATAGGTCTCCTGAGTTTAAGATAGATACCATCCTCGTTTATCAAGTGCATTATATTGCCATTCTGATTAATGCCCTGGATCCATTCACTACCATCATCTGATTCAAATGACATGATGCAAAAAATTACCATCGTGCAGTCCATGGCCAAAAATCGGGAGTCAAAATTTCTCCTAGTATCATCTACAGTAGATTTTAGTTTTAATATATGGTATTTTATAGCTGGGTGTAATAGAACACATTGTTGTACTCTGATGATGTGAATCGGAGGACGCAGACTTCTCATGTGCATGTACAATTCTGGGGGAAGCAACTGAAAAGAAATATGTCAATAAGGACATCCCAAATGAAACCATGATTGCAAATGGGTCCAGGATTTTTATCATTATAGAATGGAGACATAATCATAATACTATGGGTGTCAATGTTTATTAGTCTTGGGTCATTCTTTTAGTTGTTTCCAACCATTTAATTTGTGCACAATCTTACAGTAAGTTTCAAACCTGACTTATCTCATACATACTCAACGAAGACATGAAACTTCTACGGGTAACAACTTCATTCTTGTTTGAATGTTTCAAGGGCAAGATGTAGCCCTGAAATGACTTTACAAACAATAAAGAAGTTATTTCCCATAAACATTTCCTGTCTTCATGTTTTTCCAACCTGTAAAGTGCCTATCAAAGACTATATTATACTAGATATACTACAGAAAAGAGCTGAAAGAACACCTATTTTTTTTCCAAATGACTATACATGTACTTAATCTGTCATGGCTAGTGGGTATTGCAACACATAGCCTTTCAATTGTAGGTGTTCTTTAGCTTGTTTGAGTAGCATATATGCCAAGATATGTTGATATGAGATATTGCTGGCTCACAAACATTTTGTCATTGAAAATAAATATAAAGAAAAAGTCTCATAGTCAGTTAACAGACAAAAATGATGCTAAATGTTTAGTAAGTGTGTAATCAAATGGTAATGAAGGCTAACTTCAGTTATCCTTGTGTAAGATGGTCATCGAAGTCGATACAAGCCACAAAACTGCAGACTGGGTGAGTGAGTTGGCTTTAACACAACTTTGAACAATATTCTAATTATATCATGGCTTTGCAGCTTAATGTGGGAGGGAAGTCCGAAGTGATGCAGGTCTCGGACGTTTATCACTTTGGTAAAACTTGCAAGCATGGTATGGTGCTGAAAAACCTAGAAACAACACTAGGGCGAATAAGGATTCAAACCGACAATTACAGGTTTCTGGCGTTCCCAAGGGATGCAACTCTGCACAGCCAAACTGTAGGCTCGGATAATGGTTTAGCATTTGTTCATTTCTTGTTCAAATCAATTCTGAGAATCGAATTCATAAATATCTGATTTCTAAATACAGCAACAATGCCAACTACAGAATCCGAATTGCCACTTAAATTGACAATTGTGAAGCAGATTTGGACCATACATGCTGAATTAATAAATAATATGTCCAAATTGTGATGTCTCCTCCTGATAAAACAAACAAATCCAAATAACAAGTTTCTAGTTGTTCACTTCCGTAAGATTTCCTTACAAATAATATTGATAATAGAACTCTTGTACACATTCTCAAATTCCCAAGTTCAGGTAAACATACACACTGACCAAACAAACATGACATGTTGTCGAACAAGCATTCAAAACAGTTTTCAACAATAACATAATTTAACGTGCACCACAGTCCTATGCCAATAACTTAGTTCTAAGATAGTTGTGAGTATAAAACGTCTATTACATCTATTGTACAATTACTGAGGGAATCTATTCACAAAATCTTCAATGTACAAGTCTTTTATCATGTATGGTCTGTAGGGTGGACATTTCTTCGGGTCTCGTATCAACTCGACAAACTCAAGACAAAACCAACCTCTTAGGCTAGGCCTATTTCATACATGGTATTTGGAATACAAACTATTTGCAAAAATCACTGGTCTTGAAATGGTATACAAAAAATAAGGCATTTACACTTTACATCAGTTGCACAATGGACAAGTTTAATACAATTAATGACAAATGCTCTATTGTCCTGAGCAAAGCCATGGCAAATGTATTACCTGTATCAACTCATGCTCAGGAACAAAAATAAACGGAAGAATCTGCTTACATTGTCAACCGATTTTGTCAATGCAGTAGTCGACATTTAACAATTTAGCATAACATATCTTCCCCTACTTCAGTGAAAGGACCCCAATATATTCCATCCAACAGACTTCATTGATCTTTATGTTGAAAGGACCCCTCAAAGTTAGATAATTGATAAAGCAGAGTTCAGTCTGGACAGTACAGCATGTATATAGATAAATTAATAGAAAACAGTTTCCTCTATCTTTTTGTGAGAAGGATGGGATCAGTATAGATTCTTGATTAATGATACCAATCTAAATATTTCAGTAATAAAGATTTTCAATGAGACAATCTTGCAGTCCTAAAATATGCATAAACCTCCTTAAATTGTTAACTGCTACAAGGGTACATTGAGGACATTTTTATCTCATTGACCTGACAAAATTGACATGAGTGGCTCAGCCACAAGTGAAAATGTCCACTTTTTCAGGTCATGAGATTTAATAAGAAAAGCCCTATGTACTATTTATCATGTATATTCTCACATGACTTATGTTTCAGTTAAGTGGACTTTTTGTGTTGGTATCAATTGCTCAATATTTTATTAGACCAATTTGGAAAGCAAAATTGCATGACATCAAAATGTAGTACCCTTCCCTGCATGAAAGTCTTAATAATCAGTATTAAGTGGTCCTAACTGTCAGTCTCGGGAGAGCACAGTGTGGGAAAACTCGATTTATCTACAAAGAGACTGATATCTACGGGACATATTTATACTGGCAAAGGCTGTTAGCTCTTTAAAGTTTACTGTATAGAAAATTGCAAGTGTATTTTAGAATTGTTGAATACAAAGTACGCACAAATTGCATATAAAGTTGACAAAAATAACCTGTCTGGTGAAAGGAAGCTTTAACATTTTGTTTTACATTTTACAGATTAATTTTCGATCAGTAGGCCACAATAAATTAATGATTACATTCTCATCCCGGTCGGCCTCATGACCAAACTCGCCTCAGTAAAATGTATTTGCCACCCAAACGTCTGCCAAGAACTTGCCGATGTTTGGTATCAGCATTTAGAAAAATGCAATTCCAAGTGTCAAACTGACATCGTATGAATGCTTCATTTGGTATGTTCTTAAATAGATTGGTGGAAGTTTTTGTCTGCACATGTGCGGCTTTCAAAAGATTTTAACAATTCTCTGTATTAAAATACCTGGTTGTTATCAGTTATATGTCTGCCACATATAAACACAGCAATATGGCTATTGATAAATATCAACCCATTAAGCTGCAATAGTCTGTACAGTGTACTTGTAATAATCAGGCTCGGTCACAAACGATACAGTCCTTCGGTTATTGTCCATGTTCCAGTATTGATAACTGTTAGCGGGTGTGGCTGTAAAAAGAATGGAAGTTTGACTAGTACTCATGTGAAGTTTGTGAACAATTATACCTGTGACATGAACCCAATTTTACCTTTCCCGTTTCACTGTTTGTTGTCCTTGTAAAATAAATAATAAAAAAGTAATTTCCCACATATCCAACCTTAAAAAAAGAAATGGGTGAGAATCTTATTATTAATTTATTGTGGCCTTACATGACTGGTTGGCACAATCTTTCTACCTTTGATCAGATGGAAACTTTCATGTGTAAACAATCGCCTTCATTACATTGTAACTTTGTTTATATACTACTCAAAAGAAGTTAAGGACCACCTGATTCTTTCATATGACTGTAGTTATTCTGTGATGCCATGACAGATTAACTACAGTAATGTGAAAGAATCAAGAATTCAAAAACAGTATTTTTTCTTCTTCCCACAGTGTTACCTTAGGCCATTAGAAAAAATCTTCTATAAAAACTAAACACATTAAACAAACAAAATCTGATGGGGGCCTTTTCAAGGCTACATAAGCCAGAGCAAGACTGACTGTAATATTGCTTTCATTCTCATTAGTGAGATCCGACCTTATTGTCAGTCTCGTTAAAATCATATTTTAGTTCTTGCTTTCGCTTAACAAAGATCTGAGGACATCAAATTATGGGTCATCCAACCAATCAGAGTCACTTATGAGATCATGAAAGTGAAGGTCCGAATGTAACCTCAAAAAGGTTAACATGGCGCATTCCGAAAAAACAGTTATGGGCTGTATGACAGATTATATCAAGGGGATAAAAAATTGAAATGGAAGAGACTTTCAATATTTTTCAAAGTTTAGATTGGAATAGTAGATGCCCTTTTGAAACTAGTGCCGTAAAATTACAGAAAGCTTCTTTCCAACTGGCCCCTGTCGACTTTGATATTTGCGAAAGGTCATTCTGATGTGACCTGTTATTAGATGTCCTCATAACTTTGCACAGCAGTAGCGAACACGAAGATCTGATTTTAATGACACTGGCCTTGTATACCTTGCATAAATTAAGCCTTAAGTCCAATACATGTCAGTGAGCCAAAATACTTCCCATATGTATGTGTTAACATTCTTAACATGCGCTGTAAATATGTATTTCATGACTACACCTTATTACCAATTGTCTTTGTGTAGGCAGTAACATACCGTCATTGACATTACATTTGTATACCTTCCTTCATTACAAAATCAGACGTACAAGGTGAATTTCAGTAGAAAATGAGATCAATGGTAAATGTTTATTGCGCATGAACCAATAATAATGCTTTTAGAAAATAGGTCTGAACTGTACAAAGATGATTTCAGGATGTGCCATGCAAAGATGAAGATGTTCACCAAAGTTCTGTTGCGGTGCAAGGAAAAATCACAGACTAAGACTCAACATGCTCATCCACGTTTGTCTGAAAATGCCAGCAGAATACTAACAATGGAATAATGGAATCTTGTGTCATCAAAACATGGGGGTATACAGTGGATATTGATCAAATCTCAAATCTCAAAGGGACAAATTCAATATATCCTACAAAATGAAAAAAATAAAAAAATAAAAAAATAAAAATAAAAGTCAATTACAACATGTGTTTTTACACCTATAACTGTCACTTTGATTATCGTTCACATTGAATACAGGCTATTTGAACTTCTATTGTGAGATGGAATAATGTCAAAAACCTTTATTTTCTTTTTCTTATTCACCCTCTATTTCTTGAAACTAAGGTGCATCCATTACTTGCATAACACCTACCTCAACACCGTCCTTTAGGTAACCATATCACGAAAGAATAATTTGCATTTAAGATTTTGACCAATTAAAATATTGCCAGTGAAAGGGAAGGGAAGTAACTCCTTTGTACACAAATTGATGGACAACTATCAGGGCATCTGGGGAAACATACAAATATGCTGATATTGTAGCTGGATATAAAGAAATACTTAAAAAACAACAACATACCAACCACTGATTCCACCTTTTTGAGTTATGAAGACCAAAACATGAATATTGGTAAAGGTTGAAAGTATTTTACTATATTTTGTTTGCTATAAGTTTCCCTTACATCCGAACAAGAACTCTGGCAAAAGCAGTGAAATAACAATGCAAGATGCTATTGTTGAAGTTCAGCTTGAACTGCCTCCCCTCCCTCGAACTGCCCCTCCATGGCTAGCAAGGCCTGAACTGTCTCTAACGGTATGCCTTCAGCACCCTGCAGCTGGAACGTGGTTCCATCGGGGTTCTGTATGATTAATATACCATCCTCTGTCTGGTAGATATTGGAATGAGTCACTATCTGATCTTGACTTATCACTTGTCCTTCTATTTGCTCAGCACTCACAATCTGGCCTTGCACTTCACCAGGATCCACTTCTTCAGATTTGGCTTCAACAGGGTTGAGAACGATTTCCCTTTTCACATCCCCATCAATGGTTTGTTCAATAAACTCAGATTCATTGTGAATGACTTCAGCTAGGGTGGCAATATTTGAAGACGGGTCAACACCATTCATTTGAGATTGTGCCAGAATAAGTTGCTGAGCTTCTTCCAGGCTTTCCACCACCTGAATATTCTGAATATTAGTGTGAAGGGCTTCCTGGACAAGAGGCTGAAGCTGTTTAACACCACCATCGCCTGTCACTCCTCCATTAACAAGGATAGTTCTTAGGGTAACAGGTTCACCATTGGGAGCACTTTCAATGCTGTTACTAGCACTACTGACACCAGAGCCATTGCTGCTGCTAACTAAGTTAGCACTGTTGACAGCAGACACAACGTTCTGATTCATTGTGTCCACAACTGACACATTGTCGGTCTCTACAGCAACAATTGTCTCTGTACTACTGGATGGCATTGTGGAAGTAGCTGCCTGAGAGGTAAGGATTTCATGAGATTTACTGACACCTCCAACCTGAGATGTGGTCTGAACACTTGATTCTGGTGGTCGCACAACTGTCTTTGGTTGAACAGTTGTAATGTTTGAGCCAGACACATTAGCATTTGACACAGTCACTATCTGCGGGTGTGATACAATACTAGAATTTGAAAGAGCCACGACATGAGGAAGGGTAGAAGCTGTGTTACTGGGCTTGGACACACTTACAATGTTGGGATTTGACACTGTCACTATGTTGGGATTTGACACAGTCACTATGTTGGGATTTGACACAGTCACAAAACGTGAGGCAGGTGCTGTGTTGTTGTTGGCGATCCCGACACTATGGGGGTTGGACACAGCGATTATGTGCGGAGTTGTCAATGAAGCTGCCGGGGAGGATGCAGAGACAACACGGAACTGAACGTTCTGCGTCCCTTTCAGAATTGAAGTTGATGTAGCACTATTGTTTTTCATAGGACTCGTGTCCGAAAGTACAGAAACAGTCCTAGGGCGTTTAGCGGCCGGCAGTCCAGGCGTCTGGTCGGGTGTGGTCACCTGGATCTTGCGGCGGACTGGCAACGGCTTGCTGGGGGAGGGTATGGTTTCTGGTGTGAGTTTGAACTGGAATGTGGGGGTTTCTTCTGCTGGCATCTCCTTCACATCAAACATCCCCACTTCAAGACCAAGAGCTTGAGCCAGCTGGACATTCTCAACCTGAAATATATGTGATATACCGGTAGTTTTGAGATGGGAAAGTTCTTTCTTGTCATTACATGAGAAACTAGCTCAAATTTAACTTGGAAATCTATGCAATCATATCACCTGTTACCATAATGCTAGTAACAGGAAATTAATGGGTAAATACAACTACCAAGCTAAAAAAAAAGGTGTAACTACACAGTCACCTCTGATCAACAACACTGGTCTGAAGAAGAACTTTAACTGTCAAAATTCAGTCTGCAATCTAACTTGACAGAAATATCAATCTCATTAAAATCAGACCTTCCCCTCTGATACGATACCTCCCTAAGTGAAGATTTGAGGATGTCAGGTGAACTTGCAATAAGTGTCGAGGCTTCTAAATTCTCAGTACGAGTGAGCTTACTATTCAGATTAGCATATCTGATTTCTCAAGAACATACTCAAAACAACCAGTTCCAAATGCAAATAATTTAGCCTGTGCAATGCAATCGACAAACAAATTGGAGTTCCATCAAAGGTATATTTGCATGTGGTGTTGGTTTCTTGCTGTCTTGGTTGATGCATGTCATCAGTCCCAATTGTGTGGATTGATGCTCGTGATGTCAATCACTGGATTGTCTGGTCCAGACTCGATTATTTACAGACCGCCGTCATATAGCTGGAATATTGCTGAGTGCGGCGTTAAACAAACAAACAATTCTTCCTGTCTCAAATCGAGATGGCAAAGAACTGAAGCAAAAATATTTTAGAAAGCTGACATCTGACTGGCTCAAGAAGCCACACATACTTCATATAAACTGGGCAGTCAAAGTTTGCACAAGGTTCACTTGTCGCAACCTTGCATGGAGGTGTGGTAAGATCTTCATGCAGAGGTATTGTATCAGAATAAAAGTCCCAATCATAATAAAGCTGTCAAAACATTCACAATTTTCACAAATCAATTCCCTCCACACACCTGCAATGACTGAGTAGAGTTAGATTCTGACTTGTCCTTGTTGCGAGGACTGAGATAGAGTTGGCAGACTTTCTGGACCTGCTTGTGGAGGGCCTCGAACTCCCGGTAGATGTCATCAACATGTGGCCGTGACGGATAACCCTTCTCCACCTTCATGAGGAGGAACTCCCACAGTGTGATCACCTTGGCCAGCCGGGGTAACACAATCTCCATCAGATCCTCGTCCTCACACTGTCGCACTATCTGAAACACAAGGACAGTTGCTCAATCAAAACCACTGATGACCCAAAATACTCTCATCACCAGAAGCATTTCTGCATGACTCAGGGACTTGCGTATAGGATATATGATCTCTTTTATTAAAAGAAAATCATCCTTGCTTAGAAACTCTCATGTTTCTAGAAACATATTTATAAATACCCACTTACCGAATTAAACTAACGACTTACTTGAAGCAATTTGACCTATGTTAGCAGTCCAGGCATCCTTGGGGCAATAGAATTTTCCTCTCTTTTTTTTTAATTATTCAGGTAAGTGCTGAGAAAAGTATATTTCGACTGCAATGGAGATATTCCCCGCAGTGGTATATACTTGTTGCGAATAAATATTTATTAAACAATTTGCCAGAGAGCTCGAAAAATATTTGTCTAAAAAATCCTAAAATAACAAAAGAAAAGGCCAGTTCACCACTTGGCCTATCTAAGTAGCAACTATGGTGAAGAAATATTGTATGGACTACAGGATCTGCTTCGGAAATGAGCACTACTGCCATTTTCTGCCTAAGTCAAAGTTGTTGTCAGGGAAATTGGAAAAATATTAATTTTTTTTAAAATCCAACCAATCAAAAGGCACTAGTTCACCACTAGACTTATCTATGTTTGTTTGTTTGTTGGTTAACACCACACTTAGAAGTATTCCAGCTATATGACACAAACTGGGCATCTTTGGAAAGTGGAGATGAATCAATGTGAACATCCAGTTATACGATGAATATATAATAGAGGGAAATAATATGTCTGGAACAAACTTTAACTTAGCCCCTTAAATAAAATGGACAACAGAGGTTTGATTCAGTAAGCTTATTTATCTTTAAGAATTTGAAGGCTCAGATAATTTGTTTCCTCATTCAAGATATGGATGACGAAAAATATGAAACATCATAGCCTTCTTACTCACGTTCTCAAATTTTCTTAAAACATTACAAAAAGTATTGTGTGTAGGATTCGGAATCTAAGAGAATATTCCATCAACATTTATGTGTGTTTCTTTTTATTATTATTATCATACTATCAAAAGCATTATGACCATCAGACATTTTCCAACAAGATTTATTTTCCCACGCAACAAAAAATTGAATTAAGTTTGTCATGAATTATTCATTGTCTTTGGAACATAAATCTGTCAATGTGATAAATCACACTAAACATCATTGGTTCATATTTTTGTGTGCTTTAATACTTTTATTAACAAGTAAATGTCATTTTGTACAAATTCAAGTCTTTTTAAGCTATGATGCTGATTTTCAAGGCTTTTCAAGAGAGACCTTAAAATTCAAGGCCTTCCAAAGCCTATACGAACCCTGAAATGTCAAATCCATTTACCAATTATGTTTCCACAATAATTAACAGAGAAAACATTTTCTAGAACAATTTTTACTATACTTTAACCAGTATTTTAGTTCAGCTACAGTGTCAGCTACATTTTGGAGGAAAGTCATACTTCATGTAAGTCATTGACATTTAGAGAAACACACAAATATGTGTATGGTGGTGTCAAGGATCATAAGGGAGAAACCAATTCAACCACACAAGCAGAGGATCCTGGCAGCTAAGGGATGTAACTCTGCACAGTGATCCTACACCACCTCTGTATTTCCCACACATCCAGTTCCATCTTATGTTACATCAAAAAAAGAATCAGAAGGCTCAGATAATTAGGTTCCGCATCATTCTCAATTTGGATGACGAAAAATATTAAGCATCATAGCCTCCTTTCTGTTCAAGTGACGTATTGGCAAGAAGGCGTACTAGCCTGAATATTAATATCATATAGCAATACCCACAAAAATGTTTGAAACTTTACTAGCCCTTATGACACATTTGACATTAGTGAAGCTTATGCTAATTGCTATTCCTGCTTACTGGGCAAAATATTGTCACCTTCGTTTTTCATTTTTGAAGCATGTAGGATAAATTTGAGCAACATTGTCTCTAGTATGAACTGAATTGTGAAGAGATTTACCTGGGTTTATCTATTTTCGAGGCCATGGGAGTAGTTTCAGTAATAATTCTTTTGAGTCCAAGGTATGAACATAAACACAAACATGCATATTAAGCTAAAAAGCCCAACAATGGCATAGATTTAGGTGAGATAATGCAGGCCTTCTTATCTCTTAAAAGTTAAGATTGTACACAAACAAAAAACCCTGGAAGCTTCAAATGTAAATTAGTGATTGCAAAAGGCTGAGAATAGCTAGCTCTGCTTCAAATAAATTAGTATGGCTACAAATATAATCCATCGTTGTCTTCTTTTCTTACAAATATTACATTTGTATTGATCTTGTATTCTTACTTCTTTTAATTTGGCTTTCCGCCTAGATAGTGAGAGTTCTTGTAGGTGGCGCCCCCTCCCCCTCCCGCGGCTGGAGTGGATGTTTCCTCTTTTGGCAACTGGTGAAGGTGTCCCTGTACCAATCAGCCCCAGACCGGGTATGGAGTCTTGAGTATTACTATCCTCTGATAAGCTGCCCATATTTCCATTTGTTCGTCCAGACCCTGCAATGACAAACAAGGTTAGGCAGAGAATATGGAACACATTTTCATCAAAGAAAGTCTTTTTAAGCCTCTTGAAGAAAGAAGACATGACTTTAATATTCAGTTCCTTTTATAATAATTGAAATATTTTGGCATGTCAAGTGTTAATTTTAATGTATCAAATTGCAACCTTACTATCGAGATATACATTGAATTGCAACTAGGGCTGGGACAATACACTAACTGTGCAATCCATTACGCATCACGATACCTTGCTCATGACCCGATACGTATCAGGATACTTGCATGTGCTCTTATCTGTGGTTACGTAAGCCATCTCTTTCATAGACAGGGCGGCCAATACCTGGCACACTAACGATTAAGGGTTGGCAGTGTCAAGTATGGTGTAATGGCTGAAAATAGTTACGTTTTCACTACTCATTTTCACTAGTAATTAGTGTTGGTGGAACATTTATTAAAGAATACATTTAAGGTAAGAGTCAATATCTTTTACATCTAGTGCAGAGCTCCAGATAAGCTTTCAGTGTTGTGGGTATTTTACCCATGCATTTTAAAATCATTGGGTATCAGTAATTCAACCTGCGTATTCAAATTTCTGTTACCCACTAGTTTTTAAGCATGTGGGTATTTAAGTTAAATATTTTAAAACACTATTCATCTAGTCCCTGCAAACTGGTGTCGTGTGGGTTCGAGAGCTTTATAGGACTCAAAAATACCACGATACTTCCACAAGAAAGTGTGATGGCAAATGATCGTGATGTAACTGTCATCGTGGCGTTTGGCAAGGTTGACGGATTGCCCCTTTATAATTTCAAAATAAGTTGCTGATTTGCTTATCGAATACGTAGGGTTACTTCACAATATTTTGATGATACACACAAGTTTTATTTTTGTAGCGTATCTGTAATTTTCGTTGCGTATTTGATACGTTTGGATTATATTTTACTGTGTATTTCTGCATTTCTGATGTGTATTTCACGCAGATACGAAGCTTATCTGGAGCTCTGTAGTGTATGCTATTGTTATCGATAGTTGTATCGAGAAGTAAGAAATCGTGACCCAACGATGCATCTGTGTATCGTCCCAGTACTAATTGCAACAACACGTATCATTATAAGTTGGACTGGGACGATACACCAACTGTGCGAACTGATACGCATAAGTTCACAATACTTGTATGTGCTCTTATATGTGGTGCACAAGCCATCTCTTTCATAGACAGGATGGCCAAATATCTGGCACACTGACGATTTACAGTGGGCAGTGTCAAGTATGGCGCAATGGATGAAATATTTACTTTTTCACTTACAGTTGGTGTAACAGCTATTAAGGTTAACATTTAAGGTATGAATCAATATTTTAAACTGAGTGTGCAACTGTGATCGATACTTGTATCGGGAAGTAAATATTGTGATCCACCGATGCATCGTCCCACTAGTAATTGGATATTGGATATAAGATATTGGCCAGACTTTCATATTGCAAAATATTGCAATAATACTTCATATATTTTGATACATACCACAATATACTGCATGCATTCTTTCATCTGAAGAGGCCATATTGGGTATTACTCAGTGTAGTTATGCTATGACTATTGGGTTTGACATTTTATATGCATAATTGTACGTAACCAACTAAAAGGATTTGGGTGATGGAGATTTATTTTGTATATATTACATAAATACTCAGTTTGGCTGGAACTGTGCATCTGACCACAGGATCCTTGTTTCAATGGGATTCTAAAAGATACGAGGGATCTATGTCTCACACACTCCATTATGCCCTGTGATTAATACAAAGCTCACCATCTTGACTCCTGTCATCTTCCTGTTCTCCTTCGGGTATGGAGCCATGTGAAGGATTCAAACGATAATGCCGACTCAAACCTGCTTGTCCGATATACGCCTTCTCACAAGTGTCACACTTGTAATTCTTGGGGCGGGTTGACCCTAGACCTGCAACATCCAACAGTTTTTGTGTACGTGCTTTTAACTATTCTTTCAATCAGTAAAGGATATGCATCATGACACCACGCTGACCCCCACTGTTCAAAACCAGTCTCCTACATGTGGCATAATGATAGCTTAGCATGTACAACACAGCAAGCATGAACATGGCCTCGCAGCTGACTTGCATTTCATCTTGAAGTTAAATGAAGAGTAACATTTCTGAAGAAAAAAACTATCATGACAATACCATGAATTGTTTAGATGGACTGATGCTTGTTGTTAAATACATGAACATTTCATGCCTTTTCCATCCATATCAAAATCTACTTAAGAATAGACTTTTACTTAGTGTAGGTTCATTGGAGTATGCGTGGTATGCACTTTCATAGAGTGAGGGCCATGCTGTACATGAAGGTTCATACTCCAATGACCCCACACAAAGTGAAAGTCAATTCTTAAGAAGATTTATATTGCTATTTTTTTTACCTTGAAGGATGTAGGCCTAGATCTATTCAAAATTTATTTAGTATGTGTGACTACACTGAAAGCCATACAACAAGCTGCATCTCGGAATAAAATAGTTCCTCCAAAAGAGGTGTCATGAGGTATGTATGTAGTTTGTTTGGAACAAATGTATTAAAATAATATCCTCTTATATGATTAGGTCTGTTAAGAACTACCAAAGTAAGTCAGTCACAATGACAGCATGTTGTAATACAATTGCATCAAGTGCAAGATGTCAAAATGGCCAAAGCGAAAAACGTAGGAGATTTCTGAAGTTGTTAATGAGCCTGTGGCGGTCACATGTGTTAGTCATCATTGATCAACTGGCCAATCATTGAAAGGTGATTATAAAGATATGTCAAATAGATACTAAGGAAATTCATAGATTTCTTTAGACTGTCACTGTCAGTCTAGACATGAATCGAGTTTGATACCATGATAGGTTAGACGTGCATTGGGTTTTTTCACTGGGATGGGTCGTAGCAAGGATATTTGTGAACGATCATGCAGTCAACTTATCTGATGTTTCTCAATGTAAGCTAAAACACAAAATTAACACACACAAGAGTGTGCCACTAACGTGGCTATATCCCCCGCCCCTGTTGCAGAACTTATGACATAATTAAATCTAAGCAAACCCTAACCCTTTTTAACCGAGGTGGAAATGTCATGGAAACTGTAAACAAAGAAGAGTTTGGAACCTAAGTCCATCTTGTTGCCATGGAAACGTAAAAAATAAAAAATTCTAAAATTCTAAATAGCAAAAGGCACCAGTTCAGCATGTACCTGACAAACCTGCAGAGTTTCATAAAAACATATTGAACGGTTTATGATTTATGCTCCGGAAACGAACCCTACCCTCACAGAACCTAAGTCCATCTTGTTGCCATTGAAACGTAAAAAGAAAAAATTTCTAAAATTTCTAAATAGCAAAAGGCACCAGTTCAGCATGTACTTGACAGACCTGCAAAGTTTCATGAAAAAATATTGAACGGTCTCTGAGTCATGCTCCAGAAACGAAACGTGACATTTAAAAAATATATCACGATGAATGGCAGTTTGCAACCCAAGGCCACATGGTTCAATATCCATTTTGCCTGAAAGGACCCTCAAAATGAATTATTTAGGGTCCCTTGGACCCCCACTTTTGTGGTAAAACCCTTCATATAGCATTACAGAAAACAGTGCTGAAAGAAAATCTTTGGCATATAATGAAATGTTTTTTTTAAAGATACATTTATGTTGTCCTTGTCTTCCATGTCCAAAGGGGTAATGTTTGTGGGCATTTGAGCTGTTGCTCATTCAACATGTTCAAAGGCATTACTGTTATGGAACGATGTACCATAAGATGGCCAATGTCAACGACTGTGTTAGTATCACATGAATCAGTTACCTTTACCTCCCTGAAATGCACATTTCTTGGATCTATTTCTGTCAACAATAAAGTATGAATGAGGCAAACCAGTGAAAGCATGAGCATTGATCACACAATGTTGATCCACACAACTGGGTCAGCTTGCTCAGAGGCCAATATTCAGCCCCAAGTCTGCAACAAATGTCAGTAAATATTCGTAATATACATGTAATATTGCAATAACTAATGTTATGACTATGTACAAGGATGTTGTATTTCATTGAACAATTTGACCAAAATGCTGATCCCCTCCCCCTCTCAAATTGACTTTCTTTGGAATCCTGGATAAATCCTTAGTACAACATCTAATCAGCCAAGTTACAGTTTGACCACCCAATCCCCCAGGTATGGGAGTAACGATCACCTCAGTGCTAAAATTGCTTTGTACAACAGCACCCTGGATAGTATCATCATAAATCTTAAGCTTGTAAAGAATTCCTACCTAATTAATTGATAATGGATCAGGGCTCCAGATAATATATTTAGCCATTTACTCACAAGTTACGATTGCTTATTGACAGTTTTCTTTGGGTATTCAATATAATTCCGCAAGCAACTCAAAACTAATTGGCTTATGGTGATTAATTTCTGGTAGTTTATGCAAATACACTGCCGATGTGGAGCTCTGGAAGGGTTGTGTTACCTACACATTCGTTAATCAGAACATCATGCATCCAGTCAGTTTTCAGTTTGATGTCATATTATTAACCTAATATGCCGTATTAAGAACCTCTTGTGCTCTGAATATTTACAAAGGGGTGTGTGGGTGCGTGTGTTGAACTTTAGTCATCAATGAGTCAAATGTATTTGTAGATCAAGATTTGTAGTGTACAAAATTTTGTTTGAAGACAGTGAGTAATCATATACTTCTACTTCTGTACAAAACATACTTGGTATACACAAGAAAATATGGACTGATAGTTCTGTCAAGTAAATTTTCCATCTTAGTAGGGGGGTGTTTATAACAGATTAATACAGATTGGACCATAAGTTGGACAAGAGCTGCTAATTAGAGCCAGGTGCTTACAACGGCGTAAAACAGAAGGCATGAACATGCCAAAGAGACACGATAGAACTAGCTGCAAACAGTTTTGAACAACTGAAATAAATCAGGCCATGGCGAAAAGTCATCTATTCTAAAAACAGTGCCTGCGATTTGGCATAATTATGGTGCAGCAGGTGAAGTACAATAACTAAAAACCCTTTACTCACTGCTTCTGACTAATAAATACACACCTGGATAAACATATGTTGCCTCTTCTTTCTCCAAAGCCTCTCCTTCTTCATTGCGTCTCTTCTCCTCATCACTGCATTTGTAGTCAGAGTAGCCTCCATCAGAATCATCATAGTCTTCATCCCAATCTAACACATGGATATGTTTATAGTCTTTCATCATGTGTTTGGGAGGTTTTGACACCCGACCAGATCTTGTTCTAGGTCTATGTTTTTTTCTCTCCTCCTTTTCCTCCTTGGAAAGTTCTGGTCCTTCAACTTTATCATCCTCATCTTCTCGGACTCGCCTTCTGTAGGGTCTCTTATGATGACTACCAAGTAAATCTTGCTGCCCCGGAGACACTGTTGACGTTGTCACCACAGCAGTGCCACCTTTGTGCAGCTCGGATGGATAGATGACTCGGTAAACTATCCGTGTATTAGTCTGTGGATTGAACAAAACACTTGATCCACCACCTTGTGATGTACTTTTGGCAAGTTGTTGTTGCTGCACTACTTGCATTATCTGCTGTAGTTGCTCAGCAGTCAATTGTTGAACCGGTGTGTACTGATTTCCTTGTTGGATGATGCGAATTGGGTTATGACTTGAGCCAAGGTTTGGTCCAGTGCCAGGGATGACAGCCACGCTGACACTTGCTGTCTGTGCTTGTTGACTACTGGCAACAACAGTTTGACTATTGGAATCTGAAGCTTCAGTCTGTTCGATCACTGACGTTACACTTACTGTGTTGCCATTTGACTGAACCATGCCATTTTCTTCCCCTTCTTCGACTAACGCTACTTCCGCACTTCCCACCTCAGACTCAGTCCCAACAACCCCATATTCAACCCCTGCGAAAGTTGTGGTTTCTGACACCGAATCTGCAACATTTGTGACCAAACTGTCTTCGGCAATAACATTGTTTACAATTTCAGCAGCGACAGATGTATCTTCCACAGTTTCACCACTTGTGTATTCAACAGTATTTGGGGTAAAATCTTCTGCTCCTACAAAGGCCTGCTGAAGAATATCTTCAGCAACCTGACCCTCACTCGGGACTGACACATGCCCATCCGTCACCGATACGATTTGCACCGGAGCAGCCTGACTAAGTGTGCTAGGGGCTGTTGTCACTTCCATCAAAAGGCCCGATTCGATCTCACTGCCGTCCGCCATATTTGTTGGTTTGGCAGCGAGAGAGTGCCCGTGATCTCAGGCCAAAAGCGGTGGGGAAAAGTTGAAATTATGCATGTTGACCCTCCTTATTCAAGCTAGATATAACCATCTATTAAAAATATAACTACCATATTGCACATTTCCATCGTAAACTGCCTGAAAAGTCCCTTTATTTTCGTTCCCGCGAACTCACCACCTTGAGCTAAATCTTACCGGTAGATGGCGCTGCGATCTGCAGGTGACCGGTGACCCGCGCGAGCTGCATGTGCTGTGCATGCTGAAAACGATGCTCCCCTTTGTAAATAACTTTATGTCGTACTTATACGCCAGTACATGACCTGTCAAGTTTGAGCAACTAAAGTTGGTCTGGAAAAACAAAGTATTGGTAATAACACGTGGGTCAAAGTTCACAATCTCGCATGTTTCCTTTGTGGAAAATGTTTGTTTACAAATAATGAAATGTGTTCGGACTTCTGTACAAGTGAAATTAACACGTTCCAATGCAAAGTGACAATATTAGAGATGGGTGAATGCACCAATTAACAGTTTCAGACTTTTCATTCGAAAAAAAAATGCGTAAAGATAATTTTCTGTGATCAGCATGCTAAAATGAATCTGTGTGTGGTCATAACGCCTGAATATCTCAGGCCAAGGTCCGAATACCATATGCATCTGTCAAATAGTAGGTGCCATATGTAGGCCTGTTTTTTAATAATGAAATGAAAGCTGACACACAATGTAATTCTCTCGTCTTCTCTATTTATATGCAAGGTATAAGTTATGTTAACATTTTAACATTTAACTAATTGATCATCTGTTTTATTTTAATATTTTGATATCATGTATTTCCACATTTGTTTCTTTAAAAGTTACAAAATTAAACCTGACATACACATGGTTTCACCGTTGATGTTTGATAAATTAAATAACAAATCACATAATTCTTAAATAAACATTTAAAGGAATAAACAAAAAAGTAATGCGTAAAAATACTCGTTTATCCAGCCATATTGTATCCTTTGAGTATGGATAGATGAAACTGCCTTGATCACCCAAAGAACATATAAAAGAGTCGTTTCTTCAGCTCGTATACATCTCTTTGGTTATGGCGCGTATGCAGAAAGGGAAAGCAAATGATAATTATAATATAAAGAAAGAAATCATCAGTGATGAAATGTTTGTAGCAGGCCATGGTTATACACAAGAATCGAGTATCCCTTTTGAGAGTCGATAACAGAATCGAATGCTAAACACAACGGGATTGATTAAGTGACACCCATGTAAATAGTGTATTTTTTTTCGAATAAATACTTTTCACTAACAGTCTAAAACGACGTATTTCCCTGATACTAGTTTGAGAAACACGGAAATAATGATTCAATTTAAGCGATGCATGCCTTTCATCTATTATGGCTTGTGAGTTGTGACGCATGAAGATCGTCATGGAACCGACGCATATAGTATATACCACCCATTAAATTGTTGAACAACTAGAAACCATCAAGATCTTATAGGCTTCTTCCGCGGTAACGTTTGCAGATATGTGAAAAACATTTCGTGTTCGTTTCTGAATATGATTCAGGTATGATCAACTTTTACACAACGACAAAAATTTGAGGATTTATTATTTGTATTTTATGAATAATTTCTTTGACGAATACATCGCTGCCCAACCCACAAGGATGAGTGGAATTCCTCCCCTGGGAGAATTGTTACATTTATTCCATTACTATGATGCTATCTCCATAAATCAAACGTCTCCCAACACAGAGATGATGAGTAGTGTTAGTTGTTGACACTCGACATGCAGAGTTACGTCCCTTATATTAGATGTCAGGATCTCAAATGAAAATGATCTAAATGAAATACTTTTTAAAAATCGTCATTAAAAGGGGTTATAGCGAAAACGTCACCTCAGCAAAACGGCACCGAATGGCGATAACGGCACCTCGACTCAAGCGAAAACGGCTACTATTGCCTGGCGAAAACGGCACCTTATATTTTTTACACCTTGGTCAAATAAATGATAATAAACTTACATAAAACAAGTAAGAAATTAGACGATTCGATGTGTTGCATGCGAGAAGAATGTCAGAAAAAATCAACATGCTGTATCATGTGATTACTGTGGCCCGTAAAAATGAAATTTGCCGGACAGAAGAAGACTTCCCTTTCCGCTGTTTGAGATGCGTAGATCCCATCATTGAAAAGGTGATCGGTAACTTTTATGTCAGTTTCCAATCAGAAAATACAGAAGAAATGAAAGTACCAAACCAGGTACCAGGACAGTGTTGACAGCAATTCAAGTCCGAGTTGAGGTATTAATATTGTTGTTATAACTGATTGGTGTAATTGTTCTCGGTAATTTACAATAAGCTCTCAATTACATGTTGAATAGTTGAATACAGTAGAGTAATTGAACGTATTATGTTTTAGGTAAAGGAACAAGCTGTTGAAAACCATGTAGACGCGTATCTATTACAGTCAAAGCAAGGTTGAATCACGTCTTCGTTTGTCCATTAACTCTATTATTTATTAATATCAATTTGTTGTTTAAAGCCACACTCAGCAATAGTCCAGCTCTATGACGACGGGTAGGTAAATGTTTCTGGACCAGACGACCCAGTGGCTGATACTGTGAGAAACGATCCACGCCGTCCATGTACTATGGCTCGCTTACAACCAAGACCCCGAGCGTGACCACCAGATCCTTTTGGTCGCCACTTCAGTGTTGGTAGCTGAAGGGTTACACCAGGGAGACTGACTTGACGGAGATAGGCTCCCTGGTTACACCAACTACAACAAGCGACTCAGTTTGCCACACGTCACTTCTTACAAATTCTAGTGTAGACTGGAAATGGGCCTCTGACACCCCATACTTCCTCCAGTCGACAATAACCATAGACTACAATCGTCAAAGAGGTTTCATTTCGAACAAAGCATATCATGTTGTATTTTGTTACAGGACGTGTAGTGTATAACAAAAGGGAAGGCGTTTTGGACTAACATTTTTTTCTGGATTTAATAATTTAATTTCAGTATTTGAGTGTAACCCTAAGCACGACCGGTGCAGTATACCGCATTCCTTCTAATAAGCGTCACTGTTTCTACTCAGCTTAAAGACCCGGCGCTTATTGTCATGGAAAGTCTCTGTACTTATTATTTTTTACTTTTAATTGCTGTTATCTGACTGTGATATATCTAAATATCATTCTTTTTGTAACAAAAATACTGTAATCAAATACAACAGAATGCAATAGAAGTGATATAAAATCGAGAAACAATATTTGTTTCGATAACCTCGTACATGTACAGATGAACAAACAAAAGCTCTAATTGTATATATTATTCGAATATGACAGAAAATACCATTTAGTAGAAAAGACACACAAGATTGTGGTATATAGGATTTTGTCTGTATTGTGACCACACCTTCGAATAATGACTTAAAATTCTTGTATAATCGACTCCGATCCCATAAGGCAATGGTTGTTTTCCTTCCAATATCAAAATCTTTTAGAACGTATAATATTTACAAGTATTTAAAATTGAATTTTGTTACAGTTTGAACTAATTGTTATGGGAAACCTTCTCAATGATCTATGGAGATAATGTAAACATATATCTCACCATGTAAATTCTAAATATAATATGGCGTTTCTCTATAGGTACTAGAAGAACAGAATGGTGGTTTTAGTGGGTTGCAAATTTGACTTTGGGGTTAAAATTGAGAGTTGTCTCCTCTGAAACATTTCCACTGCAGGCGGCAAAATCAAAACATAAACTATTAATATTAAAAGAACAAGCACTTCCGAATGGACGAGAATGCCAAATAGCACTTCGAAAGAAGCAAATGTATCAATATCAGTGATGCTGCAACTAAACCAAATCTAGGCAAATCAGAATTATCAATGCTGATGATTTGTGAAGAGGGCCCAGACGACACACAGTTGATTTAGTCTTGCTGATAGCTTCACTGATCAGTGATCATCACGCTCCTGGTTGCTTCTGTGACACTTCCTAATTGATATTGCAGGATTGTCCTTCCAGTCGCTAACACCTTCCTCCTCAAATTATTGCCGTATAAATGAGCCAGAATCAAACCCAAGGCGGAGGTGGAAGAGGCTGGGGCCGTGGTGGGGGATGGAGAGGAAGGGGTTGGGGTCGTGGGCGTGGCAGGGGTGGGTACTTCAAGCAGTATGGCAACAGAGGAAATGGAAGAGGAAACTGGAGAGGCAGGGGAAATTGTAAGTTGTGATTGGGAGAATTTGTAAATAAGCTGCAATATGGTTGTCAGATAAGGTATAGTTTATGATGTAGATCAATCTAGCTGAGTAGCAAGTTCACATTTACCCAAATGGACAGTGATGGTAACATTTCTGTACTGTACGTTAGTTATAACAATGAGACCTAAACTGGAAATAGGCTTAAGGCCTCTATAAGTTATTTTTGCTTTAAATTCTGAATTGTTGTGCATATTTACGAACATATGGACCCTAAATATAGATCGTATGAAGTGTCCATGGTATGAATAGACAAATTATATATTGATATTTATATTATCATTTCAAGTAAATTCATCTCATTATCGTCTTTCTGTAAAAAGAGGGGGGGGGGGGGGGGGCGGGGGGCCCAGTCTAAGGCGCAGCGATTCGCTGTGCAGAGGGTTCGAATCCCGGTTCGCCCCGATTATGTTTCTAGGTTTGTCAGCACCATACCCGTGCTCGTGGGTTTCACCGAAGTGGTAAACGTCTTCAGACATGCATCACTTCGGGCTTTCCTCCCACATTAAGCTGCCACGCCATGATATAACTGGAATACTGTTAAAATCGGCGTTAAACCCAACTCACTCACTCTGTAAAAAGAATAAAAACATAACATTTAATACATCCTTTCTCACTTTCAGGGAATATTGATGATAATCTAATAAATGATATATATACTAAATTATACTAACCTTATTAACAGCTTCACAGAATTCTCAGGGAAGCATGAGGTTAATGGATGATCCAAGTCCTCGTCGTCAACCAATGGTCCAGACTCGTCTTGAAGTTTCCTCACCTTACAAAGGATGGAAAACATATTTTCCAGATGAAGGTAACATTATTATATACTGTGATTGATGGTTTTAGATATCTTTTGCTTACACTGGTAACAGAAATGTTTGATTTGTTGTGATGGCTTTGTGTCATTATTCTCTGACATATTTGGTATCTCACTCCATATTTTGTCTGTAAAAGGCCCATTTAGTTTATGTTTTAATACCTTGGCTTATGGTTATGTAGCATACAAACACTATTTATTTCATATAATCAATTTACTTTTGTGAGATCATTCGGTATAATGTGTTTTTATTGTTTCATTTCTATTTTTATTTCAACTTCAAGCTATGTGGCTGAACAATTGCTGATGCAACTTGCTGATAATGATCACCAACCATGTGGTTTTAGAAATATACAAATAAAAAGGCTGTACATTTTTAGGGTAGCATGACATGGCTAAGAAATCTTCCTTTATCATTAGGGGCTCATGTGGCACCCTCTAGGGCTCCAAAATTCTTTGTGCAGTGCTGCATCCCTTTAGCATGCCAGCACCCTATGATCTAAGGTTCGAATCCCGGATTTGCCTAGGTAATGTTTCTAGATTTTTTCCAGGTTTTTCTGGAAAATGAACCAGTGTCATTCTCACAAACATGGTTTAGTTTCAAAATGTTTTCATCACATACATGTTTATTGAATATACTGACATACTGAAATTTCTTGTAGGGTACTCTGACCACTCGCCAACAGTGAAGAAGGTTCAAATATTTGAAAAGTATTTCCTCAGCTGGTCAGGGATGTTTAAATTAGTAAGTTAAAACATTTACTGAGGTATTTATAGATTTCCTCTTGACCCCCAGAAGCAGGGTTGATACAGAGCTTCATGATGAAACATGATGCTGTGCCATGGATCTGCTGGGCACTGGTTTGAAATTTGGATTTGCTCAGATAAAGATCCTTGATTTGTAAGAACTATACCTTTCCTCGTGCATTTAAACAAGTGTTTAACGACTACTGCCTGCATCACTTGGGCTTGTCTCACACATTAAGCTGACAAGGCGTGATAGTACCAGTAAGAATGCAATGATGGTATTTATCATTGACTAATAGCATTTGAAGTTATAATTCTAAACCAGTTCTTAATGCTTCAATGAATTTCTAAGGCTCAAATGCTGAAATATGTAAAATATGGTGTTTTATACATTACTCACTCACCTTTCCCTGAATGTATTGTCTAACTAGCTGCACCATATCTGCCAATAACAATTTTGTCACTATATTTTGAACATCATGGTAAATCCCCCTCCTCTTGTGGTTTCACCTATGAGGCTATATTATTAATTCACCCCTCATCTCTGCCATGCAAGACAGCATATAGATTCTGTTTTAAAGCAGAAGGTCTGCATCTGTTTTACAAAATCTGGACATCAGATTTTGTTGTTGTTAGCTTGATGTTGTTCAAGTTATGATATTTTGATATTTTTTATTTCAGTCTGAAATTGAGGTGAAAGGATTTTTCACAGTCGACTTCAAAGATTTGTCTTCAGATCAGTGTAAGTCCTATTGGTGATGACTCAGCAAGAATTGCTGTTTTTTTCATTGTGTGTTTCGGGGAGGTCGGGTAGCCTAGTGGTTAAGGCGTTATCTCGTCATGCCAAAGGCCTGGGTGCGATTTTCACATGGGTACAATGTATATGGCCCATTTCTAGGGTCCTTTGCTGTGATATTGCTTGACTATTGCTAAAAGCTTCGTAAAACCCAACTCATTCACTCACTCGTTGTGTGTTTCAGTATTGATGGAGGGCCTCCCAGAGCTGGCTGCACAGATGAGAGAAATGCCTGACAACATTCTGGCCTGCATGGGGCTTGCTATGCACCAGGTAAGTGCAAAATAAAATGAATGAAGTCACTTTCCTAGCCAGAGTACCCTATGGTCAATGGAGCAGCGGTAGAAACTAATAGGTTTCCACTAGTCCTTATAATGACAACATATAGCAAAACCCTTAAAAAGGACACATTTCTACTAGTCCCTGTGATACCTTAACTATTGGGCAGTTTGGCAAGGACTACAGGACTAGTGCCAATTTCTAACCCTAAAGGAGTACCACTGGCACAGGCCAGCCTGTGTGACTATGTTCCATTATCCGTTCAACAAGACTGCTTCATATAATTATCATCTGTTAAAGATTGTCTGATAAGTTAAATTCATTGCAAAAATGTCTTGAAAAATGCAAACTTATTTCCATTTGTGTATTTATCCTTTGTTATCATGGTAATGTGGGTCTATATGGCAAAAGGTCTATGGTTTAATTTCTTTGCTGTGTCCTATCAAAAGACGTTAAAAGATGGTACTTTTTGTTACCCTGCCTAGAGCTTGGCATTAGAGGATAAAGGACTGTCTGTCTTGGAGCCAGTATAATCTGTCTGGGTGGAGTATCTGTGTTAAACTGTGGCATTGTTTCTCAGCGTGTTAGCACTATACAGTCCGATTAGTACAGACACACACACACACCCCCCCCCCCCCCCCCCCCCCCCCCCCCACACACACACACACACACACGCATGCATAGTTCCCACTGTGCCGTAGTGTGAAATTAACAAGCCTCAGTCAGTCCACTCTTTCTTTCTTGTTCACTTTGTGAAATTTGGTTACCAGTACAAACTGTTGATAGTAACATGGCATAGGTGGCTGAGTGGCCTAAGGTGCTGCACCTCACTGTGCAGGGTTGCTTCCCTTAGCTGATTGCATCTTCTTGGTTTAAGATTCAACTCGATCGGCATCCTTGCTTTTGTCGGCACCATACCTGTTCTTGTTGGTTTCTCCAAAGAGTTAATGACCTGCCTCACTTTAGGCTTTCCACTCATGTACGATGACACAGCATAAAGAGTCAGGACCATCTTCAAAATAAGGACAACATTTCCTTAAAGATCATGTAACGTTTTTTTTTGTGATAAGCTTAACTGATAAACAGTATTGATATACTGGTATATAATGTGTTTATTGCATGAACATGTATCAAAAATTCCAAGTTGTACATGGTTTATTGCAAAATTTAAATATCTTGTTCTAGTCTGTTTGTCAGAAGAATGAAAGAGAGGCTGCTGCTGACCTGCGGGACGGAGAAAGCAGCCAAGCTGTAGTCAGTGATGTCTTAGTGCCTGTCATTCATGCCAGGGTTGTCAATTTTGCACAACCCATACCACTGAAAAATGTAAAGGCAAGTTGTTATGGTAAGAACATGAGGCATTGGGATATCCATTCCTATTCATTGTTACAATATATTACTGTTACTAAAGTATGCTGCTTGTATACTGTGTTGGACAGGGCCCCTATTTACAAAGCGATCTTAGTTCTATGACTGTCGTAAGTCACGGAAATTAATGAATTAATCGACTTAATGTTATGATTGCTTTATGGAAGACTGTCCAGGCTGCAGTGATATTACTGGAATATTGCAGTGTTAAACAACTTAAACTAGATATTTATTCATCCATGGCTTCTACATTCAGATAATTGGGGGGAATTATTTGATGCATGTCATCATATCCCAACTGTGTAATCGATGCTCATGATATCAGTCACTGGATTGTCTGGACCAGACTCGATTATTTACAGACCGCAGTCATATAGCTGGAATATTGCTGAGTGCGGCGTTAAACAACAAACAAACAAAAACATTAAGAGCAGCACATCTGATTTCTGTATCTCGAAAATGGAGATTAATGGGCGGTCTAAAATTGAGAATAGTAAAAGCAATTTAATACCTTGTCGTTTTCGTGCCATAACATCTCCACCCAAAAGGGTTCCCTACTAAAGCATCATTTGTGTTTAGTGTGGGTTTTCTTATGTTCAGACCAGATTTTTCAAATCGGAAACCCAGACTGACACTGACAACAGACTTGTTGACAAAATTAAGAATATTGTGTAGCCGAAACATTTTAGAAACATCACACCTGATTGGTCCCAATGCCCACGCAGCTTTCATTTTGATTGGGTGGTAAATCTTCCCCTATAGCGGGTGACCTATAGAGGGTTTGTCACATGTTGATTGAGGGGTACTTAATAATTTGGATCAGCCAAAGATCTGATTTTCATGAGATTGGGATTTCACTTTGCAGGGAAGTTTGTGTGTGTGAAGGGCACAGTAGTGAGGGTGAGCAACATCAAGCCCCTGTGCACTGCTATGGCGTTTGAGTGTGCTGGCTGTGGGACTGTTCAGGTTTGTATTCCATCGCCCACACTCTGATAAAGTTTAGTAGTGATGTCTAGCGATTTGGCTAATAGTCATGGTACTACAGTTATTATATATTAAATGTAATAATATCTCAGACCCTTGAAGATCCAGGGTAGAATAGGTCTTGAGCAACCCATGTTTGCCGTAAAAGGCGACTATGCTTCTCTTAAGAGGCGACTTACGGGATCGGGTGGTCAGGCTCGCTGACTTGTTTGATGCACGTCATCGATCCCCATTGCGTGGATTCGATGCTTATGATATCAATCACTGGATTGTCTGGTCCAGACTAGATTATTTACAGGCCGCCGTCATAGGGCTGAAATATTGCTGAGTGCGGCGTTAAACAACAAACCAACAAGTAATAATATCTCAATGCACTGGGTAAATGCAATAACAATACATACCTGTACGATGCTGCTGAACTGGTTTTACATGTAGAAGGCACTATTGGTACATTATAATTTTCAACCTAAGGTGAGCATGTGCTGGATACTCTGCAAGTCCTTAGATGCACATGTTTTTAACCTTTGGGAATCCCTGATAAGAAAAGGTATCCGTAATACTATGCTTATCATAACAATTAAAGATCAGGTGGTCAGGCTCATTGATTTGGTTGACTGTGGGTCATTGTTCCCTGACTGTGGGACAAAACCACAATGGCATGGCTGGGATAATGTTGACTGCCGCATTAAACAATGAACAAAGTCATGTAATAATAAGCCTGCTTAACTATCCTATGCAAAATAAGTTAAGCACCACCCGATTCTTTCTTATTACTCTGTTATGGCATGCCTGATTCTTCATATTGCTATAGTTAATCTGTCATGGCATAACTTCTTCTTTTATTTAGGTCTCAAACTGTGACCTTATATTTTGTGTAAATTAAGGCAGCAGTTTGTGTCATTTTCTTCTTATTTTCACAGAGTATATCGTTACCTGATGGAAAGTTCATTGTCCCCACGAAGGTAAGTATAGAATGATAAGGTATTTATGAGTGAGTCTGTTTATGAGATAGAGCAGTAACAGATACATCTCAGTAGTAGGGTTATGCCCCCGTTTGGAGTCCCGGTTAGAATAGGTCACCAGCAACCTATACTGTTGTAAGAGGTGACTTCATTGATTGGGTGGTCAAGCTTGGTTGACTGAGCGTCCCGACGGTGTTGGTCATTGTTCACAGTATCAATCACTGGATTGTCTGGTCCAAACTCAATTATTTACAAGCCTTCATAAAGCTGAAATATTGCTGAGTGCATCATAAAACAACAAACAAACAAACATACAAAGTATGGTGGTAATCCAATACGACATGATACAGAACAATATTCATCCATTTCCTATAAATATCTTAAGGAAATAAGTATTTCTTTCCATATCATGTGACATGTTCTCCGTGCATACTTGTGTCACTTTTGATCGCTACATGACATAATACAATAATGAGAAAAATTATGATATGCTAGATCCACACACTAGTGTACGCTTGAAACGCCACACCATTATAAACCCTGTCAATGGATTACTGTGCTCTTGAATATCATTCTCAGCTCCCTGGCAGGGATGGAAATTAACCAAGAAAGTCTACTACCCTGAATAGTGATAACATATAGCAATACCTTGTAAATCTTTGAAATTCTAAGGCCTTTGGATACCTTTAGCATTAACAAAACTGGTCCGGGCTAGCAGGCTAGTTTTCATCCCTGGCTGACGATTATACTACCAAAGCTGCCAAAGTTATTCTTAGCTATGTATCATGTGTTTCAAACTTCTTTGACAATACCTTTAGTCCAGAATTGTGTTCTTAATATGAGTTTCTTCACACCAGTGCCCTGCTCAGCAGTGCAGAGGAAAGACATTCATCCCACAACGCAACTCAAGTCAAACTGAAACTATTGATTGGCAAACTGTCAGGTATGGTACAAGACTCTTACTGTAGATAAAGGATTTGCTTCCCTCCTTGGTTTTCGGAATGAAAGGGATGTTAATGTGATAAGTTATTTATACTGGCCATGTTGATGTAAAATTTATTTCCGTTATGAATTTATTTTCCATTTCACCTTATTCTAAATGTTCAAAGTAGATGTATGGTGTTTTAGGGTTCAGGAAATTATGGGAGATGGAGGTCAGAAGGAATCTGGAAGGATACCACGTACAATAGACTGTGAACTGACAGCAGACTTAGGTGAGGAACTATCTTGAATTTAATGTACTTGTTGGAAGTGATTTCTGTGATCCAGGGAAGACCAGGTCTCTTGTATCTCATGCTTATTTGGTGGATATGGGTGCTCCAGTTGTCTTAGGCGCTGCAATTTGCTTTGCATCCTTTGGGCATGCCAGAAACCTTTGATTGTCCGAATCCCGGTTCTCCCTGATTATGTTTCTAGGTTTGTTAGCACAAAAAGCTGTGCTCGAGGGTTTCACCAAAGTGGTTAACATCTGAGACCTGTACACCTTCTGGTCCTGCCTCCCACATTAAACTGACATGCCTTGATACAACTGGAAACCTGTTCAAAGCAACGTTAAACATAAAACCCTACTCACTCACTCACGCTTATTTTAATGAGAATCAGGTGGCTACAATGCCTTTAAGGTATGTGTAATACTTGATGGGTGAAGCCCCAGGACTTCTTACCACAATTCTGCTTGCAGGCAGTGTACTTTCTAGACATATATGTCAGTGTTTCAAAATTGTTGGTGTATCATTGTGTTTTAGGTGTATCATTACTATCGATGTATATATATATATCAGTGTATCAATATAAAGTTAGTTGTGTTAGAGACCTACCTTTACGTATTCTTGGTGGTGTGGGAGTTTTGGTTGAGTCAGGATAATATGTCGGTCACTGCTTCAAAACACACACATTTTTCTGTGATATGATGAGCTGAACATCTGTTTTTTCTCACAACACATTCTTTTCAGGACACTCGGCATGTCCAACAGTTTCTTTTGGTTAAAAACCTGAGGACATATCTTTTGTTGGGGAAAACAAATTATAAAAAAGAAAATCCTAATGTTTTGTTGTTGTTTCAAAGTGTATTTTGGTGTATCAATTTTGTTGTTGTTGTATCAGAGTATGTGTCCAGATGTGTTTTAGTGTAACAATGTGTGTTAACTATTAAGGTGTATGAACATGTATTACAGTGTGTCAGTGTGTATCAGTACATGTCAATGTGTATTTCAGTGGACAGTTGTGTACCTGGGGACATTGTGACTGTGTCGGGGATTGTGAAAGTCAACAGTCTTGAGGAAGGCAAGTACAACATCGTCAGCATGTCCTGTTATTATGATCATGTAGCAGGGCATTGAGTCATCCCACAGATGACATCCTTACCTTGTCAGCTTGCCGACGGGGTTAACCTCTGTGGACAAGGCGTCTGACCTCTGATCAGAAGGTCTGTGGTATACCCATCACGGGACTCTGAAATTTTATGGTCGATACATTGGCGCCCAACGTGGGCCTGAGCACGTTCATTTTAAATAAGTCTCAGTACCCTACTATGCGGCCTGGAACGTGCCTTCTGTTGATGGGGGAGTAAGTAGCAGGGCGTGGAGTCATTCCACAGATGACATCCTTACCTTGTCAGCTTACCTTTACTGTTTGTACCGATTGTACTGTGTGCACAGACCATCCTGTGTGTACCGACTGTACTGACTGTACTGTGTGTACCGACTGTACTGTGTGTACCGACTGTACTGTGTGTACCGACTGTACTGACTGTACTGTGTGTACCGACTGTACTGTGTGTACCGACTGTACCGTGTGTACCGACTGTACCGTGTGTACCGACTGTACTGTGTGTACTGACTGTACTGACTGTACTGTGTGTACCGACTGTACCGTGTGTACCGACTGTACCGTGTGTACCGACTGTACTGTGTGTACCGACTGTACTGTGTGTACCGACTGTACTGACTGTACTGTGTGTACCGACTGTACTGTGTGTACTGACTGTACCGTGTGTACCGACTGTACTGTGTGTACCGACTGTACTGTGTGTACCGACTGTACTGACTGTACTGTGTGTACCGACTGTACTGTGTGTACCGACTGTACCGTGTGTACCGACTGTACTGACTGTACTGTGTGTACCGACTGTACCGTGTGTACCAACTGTACTGACTGTACTGTGTGTACCGACTGTACTGTGTGTACTGACTGTACCATGTGTACCGTGTGTACTGACTGTACTGTGTGTACTGACTGTACTGTGTGTACTGACTGTACTGACTGTACTGTGTGTACCGATTGTACTGTGTGCACAGACCATCCTGTGTGTACCGACTGTACTGACTGTACTGTGTGTACCGACTGTACTGTGTGTACCGACTGTACTGTGTGTACTGACTGTACTGACTGTACTGTGTGTACGGACTGTACTGTGTGTACGGACTGTACTGTGTGTACCGACTGTACTGTGTGTACTGACTGTACTGACTGTACTGTGTGTACCGACTGTACTGTGTGTACCGACTGTACTGTGTGTACCGACTGTACTGTGTGTACTGACTGTACTGTGTGTACTGACTGTACTGTGTGTACTGACTGTACTGTGTGTACCAACTGTACTGACTGTACTGTGTGTACCAACTGTACTGTGTGTACCGACTGTACCATGTGTACCAACTGTACTGACTGTACTGTGTGTACTGACTGTACTGTGTGTACCGACTGTACTGTGTGTACCGAATGTACTGTGTGTACTGACTGTACTGTGTGTACTGACTGTACCATGTGTACCAACTGTACTGACCATACTGTGTGTACCGACTGTACTGACTGTACTGTGTGTACCGACTGTACTGTGTGTACCGACTGTACTGTGTGTACCGACTGTACCGTGTGTACCGATTGTACTGTGTGTACCGACTGTACTGTGTGTACTGACTGTACCGTGTGTACCGACTGTACTGACTGTACTGTGTGTACTGACTGTACTGACTGTACTGTGTGTACCGACTGTACTGTGTGTACCGACTGTACCGTGTGTACCGACTGTACCGTGTGTACCAACTGTACTGTGTGTACCGACTGTACCCTGTGTACCAACTGTACTGACTGTACCGTGTGTACCGACTGTACTGTGTGTACTGACTGTACCATGTGTACCAACTGTACTGTGTGTACCGTGTGTACACACTGTACTGTGTGTACTGACTGTACTGTGTGTACCGACTGTACCGTGTGTACAGACTGTACCATGTGTACCGACTGTACTGACTGTACCATGTGTACCGACTGTAATGACTGTACCGTGTGTACCGACTGTACTGACTGTACTATGTGTACCAACTGTACCGTGTGTACCGACTGTACTGACTGTACTGTGTGTACCGACTGTACTGTGTGTACAGACTGTACCGTGTGTACCGACTGTACTGACTGTGCCGTGTGTACCGACTGTACTGTGTGTGCCGACTATACCATGTGTACCGACTGTACTGACTGTGCCGTGTGTACCGACTGTACTGGCTGTACTGTGTACCGACTGTACTGACTGTGCCGTGTGTACCGACTGTACTGACTGTGCCGTGTGTACCGACTGTACTGACTGTACTGGCTCTACTGTGTACCGACTGTACCGTGTGTACCAACTGTACTGTGTGTACCGACTGTATAGACTGTACTGTGTACCGACTGTACCGTGTGTACCAACTGTACTGTGTGTACCAACTGTACTGTGTGTACGGACTGTACCCTGTGTACCAACTGTACTGTGTGTACCGACTGAACTGTGTGTACCAACTGTACTGTGTGTACCGACTGTACTGTGTGTACCGACTGTACCCTGTGTACCAACTGTACTGTGTGTACCGACTGAACTGTGTGTACCGATTGTAAAGACTGTACTGTGTACCGACTGTACCGTGTGTACCAACTGTACTGTGTGTACCGACTGAACTGTGTGTTCTGACTGTACCGTGTGTACCGACTGTACTGTGTGTACCGACTGTACCGACTGTACTGTGTGTACCGACTGTACTGTGTTTACCGACTGTACCGTGTGTACTGACTTTACCGTGTGTACCAACTGTACCAACTGTACAGACTGTACTGTGTGTACCAACTGTACCGTGTGTACTGACTGTACCATGTGTACCAACTGTACCGACTGTACTGTGTGTACCAACTGTACCGACTGTACAGACTGTACTGTGTGTACCGACTGTACCATGTGTACTGACTGTACCGTGTGTACCAACTGTACCGACTGTACAGACTGTACTGACTGTACCGTGTGTACCAACTATACTATGTGTACAGACTGAACTTTGTGTACTGACTGTCCTGTGTGTACCGACTGTACTGTGTGTACCGACTGTACTGTGTGTACCGACTGTACCGTGTGTACCAACTGTACTGTGTGTACCAACTGTACTGTGTGTACCGACTGTACCGTGTGTACCAACTGTACTGTGTACCGACTGTACAGACTGTACTGACTGTACCGTGTGTACAGACTGTACCGTGTGTACCAACTATACTGTGTGTACAGACTGTACTGTGTGTACCGACTGTACTGACTGTACTGTGTGTACCAACTATACTGTGTGTACTGACTGTACTGACTGTACTGTGTGTACCAACTATACTGTGTGTACCGACTGTACTGTGTGTACCGACTGTACTGACTGTACCGTGTGTACCAACCGTACTGTGTGTACTGACTGTACCATGTGCACAGACCATCCTGTGTGTACTGACTGTCCTGACTGTACTGTGTGTACCGACTGTACTGTGTGTACTGACTGTACTGTGTGCACAGACCATCCTGTGTGTACAGACTGTCCTGTGTGTACCGACTGTACTGTGTGTACCGACTGTACTGTGTGTACTGACTGTACTGTGTGCACAGACCATCCTGTGTGTACCGACTGTACCGTGTGTACCAACTGTACTGTGTGTACCGACTGTACTGTGTGCACAGACCATCCTTTGTGTACCGACTGTACTGACTGTACTGTGTGTACCGACTGTACTGTGTGTACTGACTGTACTGTGTGCACAGACCATCCTGTGTGTACTCCTGTGTGTACCGACTGTACTGTGTGTACCGACTGTACTGACTGTACTGTGTGTACCGACTGTCCTGTGTGTACCGACTGTACTGACTGTACTGTGTGTACCGACTGTCCTGTGTGTACCGACTGTACTGTGTGTACCGACTGTACTGTGTGTACCGACTGTACCGTGTGTACCAACTGTACTGTGTACCGACTGTACAGACTGTACTGACTGTACCGTGTGTACAGACTGTACCGTGTGTACCAACTATACTGTGTGTACAGACTGTACTGTGTGTACCGACTGTACTGACTGTACTGACTGTACTGTGTGTACCAACTATACTGTGTGTACTGACTGCACTGACTGTACTGTGTGTACCAACTGTAATGTGTGTACCGACTGGACTGTGTATACCGACTGTACTGTGTGTACTGACTGTACTGTGTGTACTGACTGTACTGTGTGTACCAACTGTACTGTGTGTACCGACTGTACTGTGTATACCGACTGTACTGTGTGTACTGACTGTACTGTGTGTACTGACTGTACTGACTGTACTGTGTGTACCAACTGTACTGTGTGTACCGACTGTACTGTGTATACCGACTGTACTGACTGTACCGTGTGTACCAACTGTACTGTGTGTACTGACTGTACCATGTGCACAGACCATCCTGTGTGTACTGACTGTCCTGACTGTACTGTGTGTACCGACTGTACTGTTTGTACTGACTGTACTGTGTGTACTGACTGTACTGTGTGCACAGACCATCCTGTGTGTACCGACTGTCCTGTGTGTACCGACTGTACTGTGTGTACCGACTGTACTGTGTGTACTGACTGTACTGTGTGCACAGACCATCCTGTGTGTACCGACTGTACCGTGTGTACCGACTGTACTGTGTGTACTGACTGTACTGTGTGCACAGACCATCCTGTTTGTACCGACTGTACTGACTGTACTGTGTGTACCGACTGTACTGTGTGTACTGACTGTACTGTGTGCACAGACCATCCTGTGTGTACACCTGTGTGTACCGACTGTCCTGTGTGTACCGACTGTACTGACTGTACTGTGTGTACCGACTGTCCTTTGTGTACAGACTGTACTGTGTGTACCAACTGTACCGACTGTCCTGTGTGTACCGACTGTACTGTGTGTACCGACTGTACTGACTGTACTGTGTGTACCGACTGTACTGTGTGTACTGACTGTACTGTGTGCACAGAACATCCTGTGTGTACTCCTGTGTGTACCGACTGTCCTGTGTGTACCGACTGTACTGACTGTACTGTGTGTACCGACTGTCCTGTGTGTACCGACTGTACTGTGTGTACCAACCATCCTGTGTGCTGCAGGGAAGGGGAGGAACAAGGACAAGTGTATGTTCCTGCTGTACCTCCACGCCAACTCTGTGAGCAACTTGAAGGGCAACAAGTCTGGAGGGGAGGGCAGCTCCGGGCTTGCCATGGACTTCACCATGAAGGAGCTGTATGCTATAGAGGAAATACACAGTCAAGACAATCTCTTCAGGCTTCTGGTCGGGTGAGTTGGACTCATTTATTGATTCCTAAATGAATTCAGTGCATGAATTGGATTTTATACATATCACACATGTTTGTTAGGATTGCGTAGAATCAAACATTGATGTCTTACTGGGAAGGATCAGAAACTTTGATATATGAAGTCTTTTTTGTAAATGGATGTCTGATGAATAACCATGACACACCTTCTCTTCTCTTCTCTTCTCTTCATTAGTGATGGTCCGTCCATCCATCAACTTTTACATTTCCGATGTCCATCTAAAACTACATAGCAGCCATTTTAAAAATGTCATTTTGCCCTTTACTCAGCCATTTCTGCATGTATGATTATGAAATGATGTAGAACAACTTAGGCCTATAAATATGTTTATGATGGAATACTGTACTACTCTACAACTCTGGGAATAATAAAAAAAACAACCCAAAAAACAACAACATAGACCTGTAATACCAGCTATGATCTTTACATCCTACCTTTTTTCTGATGTTACTATAATAAAGACATCTGAGAAACTATAGGGCTGTAAGGATCCAGGTTAGAATAGGTCTTCAGCAACCCATGCTTGCCGTCAAAGGCGACTGTGCTTGTCTTAAGAGGCGACAAACAGGATTGGGTGGTCAGGCTCACTGACTTGTATGATCCATATCATTGTATCCCAATTGCGTGGAGTGATGCTCATGATGTCAATCACTGGATTGTCTGGTGCAGACTTGATTATTTACAGACCGCCGTCATATAGCTGAAATAGTTTTGAGTGACGCGTTAAACAACAACAAACAAACAAGCAATTCTTGTAAAGCTGAAAGTTTGCATGAATGATCCCAGCCATGAATGTATCTTGTGCTCAAAGAATTCCAATTCAATGTTTAACATGCATGTGTACATCAGTAATTTCATGAGGATGCTTTGAGGTTGTGTACAAACTCGTGTTATTTCATATTAGGAAATCATACAAAGATAATAGACATTGACATAAAAATGATTTATTTGTATTAAGTGATAATGATGCTCTTGTTGCAGGTCGCTATGCCCTACCATCTATGGACATGAGGTATTACACCATGGTTACATTGATCAGAACTGATTTCAATCACATGTGGATGTTTTAAAGCATATGCAATACGTGGCCTTGGATATGATACCAAATACCTGTATCACATGACATGATGATACAAAGTACATATTTTTTTCTCATTTATTGTTTTCAAGAAGTACCTGTTACATGAAAATAGGCTTCCACCCGGGTAGCAAAAAGCCCATGACATCAGTACATCTAAGATTTTTCACGGAAAATAACATACTTCTCTCACACATTCACTCTAGTAATACAGATAAACTGCATAGGTACATCAAGTATGCATAAACTGTTAAAGCTTATATATCATATTGCAGTACAGGAAAGTACATGGTCTCAAACATTAAAGTCTTAAGTATAAAACTATAACTATACTGAAAGCTGCTCCTCATTTTCAAAAAGTTTATGATACAGCATCCAAGCTCCATAGAATTTCTTTGATACCATATAAAATATGATCTTGTTGAAATGCTTTTGGGAAAATTTGTTTGAATCATGCATTTCTGAAAAAAATTTCAAACACTTGATGTAGAAAACAAACCAGATACCAGATAAAACAGAACAGCAATACTTGTCAGTTAGTATCCAAGTAAACCTTTTGACAATTTAGGATTCATAAATTTGATAGGGAGTGATTTTCCCCGGGAGTCAAGTTTGTAGCTTTGTAGTATGGTCAATTGAGCCTCATCAAAACATGATTGGGCGCGGTAGGGTAGCCCTAGTGGTTAAAGCGTTCGCTTGTCATGCCGAAGACCCGGGTTCGATTCCCCACTTGGGTACAATGTGTGAAGCCCATTTTCTGGTGTCACCCGCCGTGATGTTGCTGGAATATTGCTAAAAGCGGCGTTAAACCATACTCACTCACTCAAAACACGATTAATGTGCTTGATTAGTTACTTTTTATATAAATCTGTTATCTCTCTTTTGTCTTCTCTCAAAAATATATGTGGCTAGTAGTTGTGTAACTATACAGCAATACAGCATTTTATTGCGATATGTGGCCATGATACAATACATCGATTTACAACGCCTGTTTCGTGATACATACAATACGATACATTACATTACAAGTCGTGTTGTATAAACACATGAATAATAATAGAGCCTGTTCAACACCCAGCTTACACAGATTCTCCAGTATTCCTGATTGGCTATGAATGGCATGACATTCACAGTGCCCTCAAGCCTATATGTTTCTGCCCTACAATTTCCCATCTTTACTCTTTGAAATTTCAAAACAAATGATCCAGGGTTGTGATACATCTGCAAAGTACTGTATCAGGATTCCGATATGACTCGTATCACACCCATAGTATTGGATATGTATCGTATTGTAGGCCCACTATATTGTTACACCTCAGAAGCTAGGACAGTTTCAATAATATCAAATGATAATTCAAATTTTCGTTGGCCCACTATATTGTTACACCTCAAGTAGCTAGGACAGTTTCAATAATATAAAATGATAATTCCAATTTTCGTTGTGGATTGTTTCTTCAGTTGGTGAAGGCAGGCCTGACACTAGGCATGTTTGGTGGAGGTCAGAAGTACACGAATGACAAGGTACGTAGTACTCCTCTCGGCCACCTCTCTGTTGTCAGCTTGAGCAGGTCTTCAGGTATGTACTTACACTCTCTACTCAGCTCGGGGGCACGGGTGGCCCAGTCATCTAAGGTGCAGAGTTGTGTCCCATGGGCTCGCCAGAAACCTATGATTGTGCGTTCAAATTCCGGTTCGCCCCGATTATGTTTCTATGTTTGTCAGCACCATACCCGTGCTTGTGGGTTTCACCAAAGTGGTAAACATCTGTATCACTTCGGGCTTTCCCCTCACATTAAACTGACACTCCGTGATATAACTGGAATACTGTTAAAAGCGGCGTTAAACCCAACTCACTCACTCACTCACTCACTCACTCACTCACTCACTCACTCACTCACTCACTCACTCACTCACTCACTCACTCACTCACTCACTCACTCACTCACTCACTCACTCACTCACTCACTCACTCACTCACTCACTCACTCACTCACTCACTCACTCACTCACTCACTCACTCACTCACTCACTCACTCACTCACTCACTCACTCACTCACTCACTCACTCACTCACTCACTCACTCACTCACTCACTCACTCACTCACTCACTCACTCACTCACTCACTCACTCACTCACTCACTCACTCACTCACTCACTCACTCACTCACTCACTCACTCACTCACTCACTCACTCACTCACTCACTCACTCACTCACTCACTCACTCACTCACTCACTCACTCACTCACTCACTCACTCACTCACTCACTCACTCACTCACTCACTCACTCACTCACTCACTCACTCACTCACTCACTCACTCACTCACTCACTCACTCACTCACTCACTCACTCACTCACTCACTCACTCACTCACTCACTCACTCACTCACTCACTCACTCACTCACTCACTCACTCACTCACTCACTCACTCACTCACTCACTCACTCACTCACTCACTCACTCACTCACTCACTCACTCACTCACTCACTCACTCACTCACTCACTCACTCACTCACTCACTCACTCACTCACTCACTCACTCACTCACTCACTCACTCACTCACTCACTCACTCACTCACTCACTCACTCACTCACTCACTCACTCACTCACCTACCTGAAACTGTTGTGTATCGGGAGTCCTCTAGTGGAATCAGGGCCAGAGTTAATTTTTCACCAGTCTGCAAAAAATAAACTGCTACAGAGTTACCAATAGGGTAATGGTAGAAGTGGTAGTCCACAAGGAAATGTGACTAGTGTCAAACTAGCAGACTTGTTAATTGCAAACCCTGCATTTTTGAGTCACCCTGTCACCAGTATGAAGTGCTGTAGCTACAGGGGGGCAACTTGACACAAGCCACAGTCTATTTAAGGTTAAAGGTATCATTGATTGTAGTATTTCTGGCTCTTTAGGTGTCCTTATTTATTAGCAACATAAGGGCTGGTACATGTTTCAGGTTAAGTTGCATCCCTGAGTTGACAAAGACTGAAAATAAAATCATGAAAAATTTGCCGGTTTTATAAACAACAAAGAGTGAATTAACTGGGCCCGTTCCGCAAAGCTGTCTTTGCGCTACAACTATGAAGCTCTATAATGAAAAGATCACTTTGGGGAACACAGCCCAGGTTGCTGGGTGGGAAAAACTAGACATCCAAGCCTCCTAAATAGCTTCAAATGAATTCCCTGTGATGTGAGATTTGAATAATAATTGACTCCTCAGAATATAAGTGTCCATGATATTGAAACAATTGAAAGGTTGATGCAGACCTTTTATTCTTTTTTTCAAGGAATTCAGTATATAGTAAGTTATTGGAAAGTAGGAAGTCATGTACAATTCTAAGACATTGTTTGATGTTCATCTGTTTCGTACATTTCAGAACCGTATCCCGGTCCGAGGAGATCCACACATACTGGTTGTCGGGGACCCGGGGCTGGGGAAGAGTCAGGTTTGTTTACTTATTGCAGGGTATTCTTGAAGAACATCTAAGGGCCATTGTCAGTTTCTTTCTGTCTGGACTAGTGTCAGTTTGGCAGAGCGTTTAGAGGCCTTCAAAACCAGAGGCTGGAGTGTTTTTTTACCCTGATTTGCACGGATATGAAAAGCGCTTGAATTTATGTGACATCTATGCTGATTCGTGTGGAAAATTGAACACGCTTTCAATATCACTTTACGGATTTCTCTGTTAAATCGTTAAATGAAAGCAGTCAAGTTTAACATGGGACTAGAGAGTTTGTGCACTGATGTGAAAAGTGCTTGAATTAATGTGACTTCTGTGACAAGTGCTTAATGTTGATGTATATGTATCTACAAAGTCTCTGTTCTCTTCTGTCAGCCAATGTAGAGTGCTTAAATTGTAAGAAAGGACACATCCATGTGTAAATTTAGAGTTAACTTCTGTGTTTCTTCCATTGCAAGTTACCCCTAGTGATTATTGGTTAGAACTAGTCCCAGGCATCCTATGCTGGTTGTAAGACACAACTCAATGGATTTGGTGGTCAGGCTTGGGGAATTGGTCAATGGTGTCCAAACTAATCCGTCAGCGTGGATAAGTGCTCATAATATCAATCACTAGATTTTCATGTCCAGACTTGATTATTTACAGGGTACTGTCATATAGCTGGAATATTGCTGAGTGAACAAATACTCTCACAGATAATTGCAATTTGCTTCTGTCCATGCGTGTCCATGAGTAGATTGAATATTGAATTAATATTAATCTTAATTCATCTGATTATATTTCCCATTAAGATTCAATTGGGGAGGAGGTATGATCTGTAAGTAGAAGTTCTTGGCATTTCATATGAATTGGAGGGGCCGTCAGGTGGCCTGGTGGTTAAAGCGTTCGCTCTTCATGCCGAAGACCCAGGTGCGATTCCCGACATGGGTACAATGTATGAAGCCCATTTCTGGTGTCCCCTGCCGTGATATTGTTGGAATATTGTTAAAAGCAGCATAAAACCATACTCACTCACTCACTCACTCACTCACTCACACATATGAATTGGAATATTGTCTATTACAAATACTAGTTCGGTTCCAAACTGTATAATGCAATGGAGGCTTATGACTAATATGAAAGAAAGTATTTTCTGAAGTGCTTAATTGCTTTGAAATAGCTGTAATTGATGACTCTTCCTGAACATTCATGAAGATTTGAAAATATTGTTTAGAAACAATGTGCACATGATTAGAGGACACCCCTTAGTGTAGAAGATTTCAAATGTATCTGTGTCACTGCTGGTTCTGTTACATTACAGTACATTTGTGGTATTTGGACCTTAAGGATTGAAACGTTTGTCAATGGTGGTCAGAGTAATTTCAAGGTTTAGGTAAAACATAAACTGTAAAACATGCATTTCATTGTCATATGTGACTTGAATTTATAAATAAGCAGGTAACAATCAATTTCATTTCATACTAGCCTGGAAGCTAGTAGAGCTCTGTTAGCACTGCCTGCAAGGATGCTGTTTATGTTGCAGATGTTGCAGGCCGTGTCGAACATCGCCCCCAGGAGTGTGTATGTATGTGGAAACACCACAACAACGTCAGGCCTCACTGTAAGTAGCTTACTTATTCTTCCTAGGTACTGGTGTCGCAGTGATCTAAGTACTGCACATTACTTGTTACCTCCCTTAGCTGGTCGATGATCTGCTGGTGGTAGGTTCAAATCCCATGTTCATCCGAATTATGATCCTTGGGCTATCACAGGACTACACCATTGCTTTATGGTTTCACTACTCAGCATCAACGACCTTCAAGGGGTGAGTTAAACTTTTAAGTAACATCGGCAGTTTTTCAGCCATATTGTGACTCGACCTTCATCACTGACACACTGATATGACATAACTGATATGAAATATGTAACTCACTTTTAATTATTTTCTTGAACAAAATCCCATTGTATTTCCAGCTGTTTGAATATTTAAAAATGAAATATGTGTTCTAATGATGTGGCTTGATGGCTTTTATTCAAAACATGATTTTAGTTGTATTTTCCTTTTATCTAATTTATCAGTTGAAAGAAGAAAAAATCGCTGTCTAATTTGTTTCTTTGCAAACACATTGTTGAACATGTATCTCTTCAACAAGTGTCTTTGATAAGATGTTTATGTGACTTCAATGACAAGCGTTCCAGTTGATTTGGATAGAAAATTGTACACATTTTCAGTATCTCTTTACTGGTTTCTCTGTTAAATCATTAAATGAAAGTTTGTGCACTGATGTGAAAAGTGCTTGAATTTATGTGACTTCAGTGTCAAGTGCTTAATTTTGGTGCATATTTGTGTACAAAGTCCCTGTTATCTTCTGTCAGCCTCTGTAAAATGCTTGTATCTGTTCAGCAAGTGTCTTGGATGAGATGGTTATGGAAATGTGTCCTGAGTAACAGGCAGCTTTGGTAGCTACATGAGTAGTATCTAAGCTAGGGTGTGAAAGTACGCCCTGTTTGCAAAGAGAACTACCTGTAGTTTGAGTTGGTAGAGTAGTGTATGGCAACGATTGTAGGCTGTCTGATGTCTGCCAGGTGACACTGTCCAAGGATGGAGGGTCCGGAGATTATGCCCTAGAAGCAGGTGCTCTTGTCTTGGCTGACCAGGGCTGCTGTTGCATAGATGAGTTTGACAAGATGACCAATCAGCATCAAGCTCTCTTAGAGGCTATGGTGAGTAGTATAAGATATGGAATTCTGGGAATAATGTTTAGTAGATTCATTATATAGTGACTTTGACATGTTTTCAACAGGTCTTGACATTGTAATACCAGCATTAGAAATTGGCACTAGTCCTATAGTCCTTGTCAAACTGCCCAATTGTTAAGGTGTCCTGAGGATTTGTAAAATTTGCCCTTTTAGGGGTTTTGCTATATGTTATCATGATGAGGATGAGTGGGCTAATATTGTTAGTTTCTATTGCTGTAATACCTAATCGCAACCCCAAACCCCATCTCAAATTCAAATAATGTGTCTCTTGGATTTACAAATAAAAAACAAAGTATGATGACGCCTTATGCTTCCTTCAGATGGGGATTGCTTATTGGAATTGAGACTTAATGATTGAGAGAAGAAAATCAAATTGTCCAAAACATCGATTGTATTCTGAGAACAGAAATAACACGTAAATCTTAAGTACCTGCTTCAGTTGAATGGAACTCACAAATGATATTACATGTGTTCATTTTTAATTTGTATCCGTATAGGATTCAATATGCTGCTCCTGGTAAAACTGTGTATAAGAATGTCTTGTTGTGTAGGACAGTCTACTGAGGTTGTGTCGTAAGAGGTGACTTACAGGATCAGGTGGTCAGGCTCACTGACTTGGTTGATGGATGTATACATCATCTCCCAATTGTGTAGATTTATGCTCATGATGTGAGTCACTGGATTGTCTGGTCCAAACTCCATTATTTACAGACCACCGTCATATAGTGAAATATTGCTGAGTGAGGCATTAAACAACAAGCAAACAATCTGTGGATGAAGGAGTAAGCATATACTCCGAAACGTTGTGTTCCTCATAATAAAGAAGCTGACATCCATTAATTCTCTTCCTCATGTGCAACACTTCTAAATGCCTTTCAAAGACTTGAAACTAACTGAGGTTGTACACCATCTTTCAGTTCTCAGTGATGTGAGATGTTTGTCTGTGACTCTTGCAGGAGCAGCAGAGTATCAGTATTGCTAAAGCGGGAATAGTCTGCAGGTGAGATGGGTCAAATTCTGACACACTGGTTTTACATTTTGCCCTCTGCAGAAACTGCTTGCTTGAATTAGATATTTAAAAGTCATTTTCTTGAAGAAAATTTTTATACCTTGAGCCTTGACTTCACAGTATTACCAATATTCACTCACTCATTGCCATAACTTAACAGTTAAGCTGCAAACCTTTCTTAATGGTCTCTATATATAATGATTGAGATCTTATTTGCATTATGTTCCTATAAATAAATTGCAAGTGATTTCGTGGCTTTTGATTGGCTAACCAAACATTTTTGGCATAAAACCGAAAGTATTTAGGCCATGCCCACACTACTGTTTCCTGATCGGCTGACAATAGCATTGGCAGTATTGCACTGAAGGATGTCACCTATTTCATATTGTTATCACTTATTTTTATTTCTTTTATGCCACGAAAAATATTGTAAATAAATGCTGTTATTAGTTTTGGGAAGAGAGCACATATATCTGTAACCCCACATGACCTTAACATTTCAGTCTGCCTGCTCGCACCTCCATCATCGCAGCAGCCAATCCTGTTGGCGGACATTACAACAAGGCTAAAACAGTTTCAGAAAACCTCAAGTATGTTTATAATGTCTATGTTGGTTAACTGAGATAGTTAGTTTGATAGCAACAACCTCTCAGCTGGGCAACGTGGAATGCTAGGACTTTCATACAAAAACTGGGCAAATTAAGTATTGTGATAGTTGTGACTCAAATATCGCGATATGCCTTGATATGTAGGTAAATTGTGATACCTCTAGTTATACCCCCGACCTTTTAGGTTGGGGGTATATAGTTATGTCAAGGTTCCACGATTTCTCTTAAACGATTCAGTGGATTCATCTCAAACTTAGTACATATAATCTGTGTCATATGGAGGGGTGCAGTCAAAAGAAAAAAATTGTTTTTATTAATTTTCCATTTTTTTATGAATTTTTCAAACCCTAACCCTATCCATTATTTAATTTGAAACTACTGACACACTAGGCGGGTCGGGGGTATTAGTGAGCCACGCTCACTTTTGCCCTTGTATTAATCATGTCTTTGCCAACTTATCGCTGTGGCGTCTGGACTTGTGCCAGGGATAGTCACAGTTGAATAAAGGGAGGAAGTGTCATTGCTTCTCCCTGTCTGGTATTCATTGTTCCCCAACAAAAACTAAGGGTGAGACACTTCATCGGTGCATTGGTGCATCATGAGTTTACATGTTATGATACCATACGCGATAAATCACTAACTACTTGTTCAATGACCTCAGCCTCTTTGTCAGTCAAATATCACAAATGTTTTGTAATAAGTATTTCAAGTTCACTTCTACAAATAGCCGCTATGAACATGTGTCTACAGCTGGCTTTTCCTTTTGAACCAACTCTCAAATATTTGTAGTAAGACGTTTCCAAGCAATTTTACCTTTGAAGTGAAGTGTCAACACTCAAACAAGGATTTCATTGAACACGATCCAATGGCATAAGTTGTTTTGTGCTGTGATATCTTTCCAAGTTTTATAAGGAATATTTACTACATATTGCATCACTTTTGTCTTTCCTCTCATGTGAAAGCTGACGAACTGTGATATAGATGAAATACTGTTCAAATCAGCATTAAAACATCTCATTCATTAAGTTTTAGATGACCATCTTTTGGTAGTACCTTGGTTCATGATTGCGTCTGTAAGATGTTGTGATACGATACTTATATTGACAGTAAGGTTGAGATGAGATGCACAATACGAAGACACAACAGCGTTAACACTAGTCCTATAGTCCTTTCCAAACTGCCCAATAGTTAAGGTATCCTAAGTGACTAGTATAAATTTGCCCTTTTTAAGGGCTTTGCTATATGTTATCATTATAAGGACTAGTTAACTAAAACTGTTAGTTTCTACCACTGATGCAACACTTGGAATGTGAGTGAAACCGGGGATAGAATATATTTCTTTCAATTGTGCCACAGGGCACGTCTATTGATGTTTAAGTGTGCCCTTTGGAGATTTCAGTGTGCCAATCCGAAGAAAACTTTTCAATGAAAAAAGAAATCGGTTTAAAAAATACTTGAAATTTTGTTCTTTAATGTTCATCATTTCCATACATTTGTCCAGTTTACTTGTGTGAAAGAACATTTGTCACTGGCAAGTTTTTTTATTCGACCACAGGTGATTTCTAAGTGTGCCCTAAAGGTACTGGAATATTATTTTAACCATATTTTGTATATTTGAGTCAACTGATGTACTGGTAGTGGCTTGAGACATTTCTTTACTCAAGCAGAAATAATATTTTACAAATTACATTGCAGTACACTGCATACTGGGTGAATTGATTCACTGCTATTTATGACAAATATGAGTCATCCTTATCCCAAGTCTGTCCTTTCAGAATGGGCAGTGCACTCCTGTCAAGATTTGACCTAGTTTTCATCCTGCTGGACAAGCCAGACGAGGTCAGAATATGTAGACAGGAAACATCATGCTGTGCAGATTTATTGAAATAATAAAGTGAATTAATAATTTGAAATGCTTGATAGAAGATACCTAATTTGTTTGAACTTGATGCTGACGTTGAATACAGATGATGTTGATTAAAGATTACTTTCTGGAATAGTAGGATGAGGGAAGAGATTAAAATGCGATTGTGTACTCACTGCACTGACTGTTTAGGGCAATTCTCTCTATAAAAGACTATTGTGATGTCTTACAGGAAATGGACAACATGCTGTCTGAACATGTGATGGCGCTGCATGCAGGGAAGAAAAGGTACAGCTATTTGCCTTTCTACTGACTATATTGTGATTACATTTCCACACCATGCAGGGGGATGGTCAAAGCACTACATTTTTATAACCCTGATCAGTGTGCACACGATATTCATTCTCAGCTTTGGTATACGACCCAAGGTAAAGATACAGCTATTTGAGTTTCTACTGACAATTTTGTGACTAAGAATATATTTTTCGTAAGTCTTATAGTAAACTGACAGAGGTCAAGATTTCTGTTTATGTCTAAATTGATTTTCAGGCCAGATCAATATTCTTTCTTGTCCTATGGGTGAAGCTGTCCTACATTTCCAGAAGTAAATACAAATTAAATTAGAAATACTGTTTGATTGAAAATTTGGTTTCTTAAGCATCTGTTTGTATGTCATGACGAGGAGTATTATGGATAACAGCATCTGTTAGGATGTCACGACGAGGAGTATTATGGATAACAGCATATGTTTGGATGTATTTAGATATTATTGTTATTTCAGAGTTATTTTGACTGCATCTGTTTGAAATCTACAGATAGATGTATTCAATTGTCTTCAAAGAAATACTGTCATATTATGCTGTTTGATTGTCGATCATTTAGCAACTGTCATTTTATTTTTAGTGATTTTCTGGGAGTTACAGTCAGAAGAACTCAGGCAAGTTGCTACTGCATAAGCAGGGATGCAAGTTAACCTGATACATACATACCTGAATAGTGCTAATACACTACTGAAGAGAGCTTACCGAGGTGCCTGATTGTTTCATGCCATGACAGATTAACTACAGTAATATGAAAGAATTGGGCATTCTTTAACTTCTTTTGAGTAGTCTATGTAAGGGGACACCCTAAAAGCATGAATTTGTACTAGCCCTTGAGATACCTTTAACACTAGGCAAACTGACTCGGGGTAGCAGGCTACTGCCATGTTGCATCCTTGATAAGCTGTTTGCATGGTAGGTAGAAGTACTTTGTAGGCCCTCTATTACCTTAAGAGGAGGGAGTTACTGACCAAGGGATTGAGCATATGTATTGTGGGTGTCTGTCCTAGGATATTTGTTTGTTGGTTTTTGACACATTCATTTATATTGCACAAGAAGTTATAGAAATTTGCGATTTTTCCAAAATTTGCATTATTAAGAATCTCTGTAACATCTGACAGCTTATTAATAATCCAAAATGGGCCCAAGAGTGATCAAGTAACTTTTTGTGGCCCATGTCCTTTAAAGAAACTGCCAGGCCTCCAGAAGATAGATTTGAGTTGACACTCCCATGGGACACAAGTATTGATGGCGCCGCCTTTTGATGTTGATGCCATGGCGGTCAGAAACGACAAGGTGTAAAATATCCACAATATAATAGTGCAGCCTTATTTATGTTCATTCAGAATTTGTTGTTAAGTTGTTTTTCAAGATACAGAAATCAGATATGCTGGTCTGAATGTTTCGTCCATTCGTACTGAGAATTTAGAAGCCTCGATGCTGATTGGCCTATTTGAATTATCATCTGACACACACAGATCTCCAAGAGCAGAAGGTTGTGAGTTCGATCCCTGCCCACATCATACCAAAAGACGTTAAAAGATGCAACGTGTTGTTACCCTGCTCGGTATTAAGGGGCTAAAACAAAGACTGGTTGGCACTGAGTCAGTATACTGCGGCATGGTATCTCAGTGTGCTAACCCTATAAAATCGGCATTAGTCCGGACTAGTACAAGCAGCCACATACACACATACATCGCTATGTAAGTGCAATAATCTTAAACCTGTCATGGTTACAACATAGCAATGTTGGCACAGGCCTGAAAAGGCTTTGCATTTGGGATCCTTACCTTGATGAGGCTTTACATTTGAATCTTGAAAATGAACAACATGCCTTGAAATGCATTGAATTTGAACATGATTAAGTACAGAAATATATTTTGAGTGGTACCAAATTATGAAATATCAGCATTCATTCCAGAACATGCATATGAATTTTCTGCACTCTGCAATTTCAAGTTTTATACACATAGAATGCAGGAGCTTGTGTCCATGAAGTCACCTTTCTGTTAGAGCCTGGATTCATCATGCTGAAGACCAGGGTTTGATTCCCCATATATGTAAAGTGAAATCCATTCTTGGTGTCCCCTGCCATAACATTGATAAAAACGGCATAGATCTCGACTCGCTGACTGTTTCAGGATGACCTTGATTCCTCCCGGCTGCAGTGGGAGGCAGACAAGCCACTGAGTGAGAGACTGAAGATCCCGAAGCTCGATGCCTTCGATCCCATCCCCTATCAGCTGCTTCGGAAGGTATGTCCTCGCACAGTCCCACACCTAGTCAGTCACTTCTCAAACATATTTATGCATGCTTTTATCAAGCGAACCTAGATTCCAAATTAACCACTTAATATTCACACATCGGTCTGTAGCCTGAAAAATAACAAGCTATTGGTTCTCAGGTGGTTGTAGGTGGTCCTGCTTTTGTAATATGAATCAGTGTTGGTTAAGAATACCTGATCATCTGCATTAAGAGAGTGTAACTATTTCTAGGATGGAGATATTTAAATTGTTATTGATCTAATTGTCCAAATCAGGAAACAGCGCAAAATTCACACTTAACTATATTGAGTGAGTGAGTGAGTTGGGTTAACGCCGCTTTTAACAGTATTCCAGTTATATCGCGGCGTGTCAGCTTAATGTGGGAGGAAAGCCCCAAGTGATGCAGGTCTCAGACCTTTACCACTTCGGTGAAACCCACGAGCACGGGTATGGTGCTGACAAACCAAGAAACATAACACTTTACTATAGAGACGTATAGGGACATCACACACTGTCTTCACAGTTTTGCAATAAAGTATAAGAAGTGAATATAGTACCTTTCTAACTGAGTTGGAGCAGTGCCGCAATGTTCTTAAACCATGAGTCCATGCACAACTGCATTGTAACGTCACCAATGGACTGCTGCTTCACATCAGAAATTGAGGGAATTTCATAAATCTGCATGTTTGATCAAATTGTCAACATTTACACTGAGAAAATACCCGGTATCATGATTTCTTATAGACTAACATTTTATCAAAATGTTGCAGAACTATTTTGAAACACTTTTTTTGTATTCTTGTATTGCAGTACATAGGCTATGCCAGGAAGTATGTTCATACAACCATAGGCCCTGAAGCAGCCAGGGTTTTACAGGTTTGTATTTGAAGAATAGATGTTTGTGTTTAAACTCCATGTGAATGATTTATTGTTTTAATGATTAACTACGGCAAGGCAATCTGATCCATAATAATTCTAATCCATGTTTGGAGTGTTGGATGCCAATGAAATAAATAGGTTAGTTTGCAATTAAGATGCCTGTTTCAATTACTGCTCTGGTAATGCATTTAATTTTATCATGAATTATTTGGGACTGAATTATATTTTTTGATAATGGGAAACAGTAATGTTGATTCATGTCTAAAAAGGTAACTGATAGTAGTACAGTACAATAATGTGAACAGATGGATCAGTATATGACATATAGGTATCTATACCAGCTACGTTATTGCTATTCCTGATTGTTTGAATAAATAAATAGCAAGTGATTACATGGCATTTGTTTGGATAACCAAGCAATATTTTTGCATTTGTTTCCATAAACCTAAAACAATATTAGGCCGTGCCTGGTAACTGACTACTGTTCCTGATTGCTAGACAATAGAGTGGGTGGGTCTTGTGTTGCCGATGATTTCGTATTAATATCTGCAATATGTAGCGTTTATTGAGGTAAAAATGGGAAAACAGGTGTGCACATGCTTCGCAAAACTGCTACACAGATTTACAGAGAGGGCACACCAGTGTTTTTGATGATAGTAATTATACCTCCATTAATACAAAAAGTATTGAATTCAATTCCTAATTATCCCCCAGAACTTCTATCTGGACCTCCGTAAGAAGCATCAGACACAGGACAGCACCCCGATCACAACCCGACAGCTGGAGTCCCTGATCAGACTAACAGAGGCCAGGGCTAGACTGGAGCTGAGGGAGGTGGCCACTTCACAGGATGCCGAGGAGGTGGTGGAGATCATGAAGTTCAGGTGGGTCTCACTTCCTGGCGGGTTGACAGGCCTAGCCTAGACTTGTGCTGTGAGTGGAGCATATATCATAAGATTGACTGAGGTTTAGGCTAGACTGGCATGGAGAGATGTGTGTGTATCATGAGGTTGAGAGGGACTCAGACTGGAATAGTGTGGCAGGGATATAGGTATGGGTGATGTGTGTTGCTTCTTCTGTCTGTCAAGTTTCTGGTTAAATCAAAGACTGTTCAATATTTCTTGATCAAATTTTTCAAAGATATCAACCGAGCCCTGAACTGGTGCCTTTTATTATTTGGAATTTTGGAAACAACAATTGGACTTGAATTTAAGATTCAATCAGTGAAAATATCTTCTGAACCATTTGTATTTCCTAACTTTTCAAACAAGTGGTCAACTGTTAGGAATTTTATGTCTCTTATCCACAGAAGCAAATGTACGACGCCAGTGTATCTGATAATAACCACTGCTCCCAGTGATCTTCTCAAAGTAACACTACCTTTCTGGGATGGCTAATGGTACTAGCAGCATATTAATCAGACTTTTGTTGTGTTATTGACTGCTTGGGACAAGTCCCAGGTGCCTTTTTTGGTCAGGGTCTGGTGTCTCACACTCAGTGCAACATATAATTGGCAGGGATATGTGTATTTCATGCTTGTTTTAATATGACAGGTTTATTCATTAGTCATGACTGATAAATGATGTTCTAGTTTGTTGATGAAGTGTGTCTGTCTACTTCCAGCATGGTGGACGTTTACTCGGATCAGTTTGGGTGGTTGGACTTCAAACGTTCACAGCACGGCTCAGGCATGAGTGGGAGGTCTCAGGTAAGCAGATTCTATCAAGTATATAACGCTGTGTTGTAGATGAAACCTGGTATTGACAACTGATTGAACTGCAATAAATTACAATTACAGTTGTCACTGTATTAAAGCAACCCATGCTTGCCGTGAAAGGTGACTATGCTTGTCGTAAAAGGCAACTAACGGGATCGGGTGGTCAGGCTCGCTGACTTGGTTGATGCATGTCATCGATCCCAATTGCATGGATCGATACTCATGACATTAATCACTGGATTGTCTGGTCCAGACTTGATTATTTACAGACCGCCGTCATATAGCTGGAATATTGCTGAGTGCTGCGTTAAACAACAAACAAACACTGTATTAAGCATCCTCTGACCAACTTCTTGACCAGATGTGTTGTTATACTTTACAGGGATGCAACATAACTTGAAACTTTTACTAACCAAAATAGTGAAAATATAGAAGGACCTGATGGATGGCTTCCCTCTGTTTCAGCCCAAGAGGTTTGTGGCAGCCCTTCAGAAGGTGGCGGAGCAGACGTACAACTCCATCTTCACTGTGCAGCAGATGAGGCAGATAGCCAAGGTAGGAACAGCAGTACTGAATAGTACTTAATAGGGCACATGCGGTAGAACAGAACAGAACAGTCATCTGCTGTCCATTTTTGTCTCATGTCTTCTATTATAGCTTATACATGTGGTAATCATGTACTCATATATGCCAGGCATGTTGATTCTATACCGAGAATGTTTGTAGGAGCAGGCCTTGTTCAACAAAGTGATCAGAGCGCTAAGATGATTGGTTGGTAGGTTTGTTGTTTAACGCAGCACTCAGCAATATTCCAGGTATATGATGGCGGTCTGTAAATAATCGAGTCTGGACCAGACAATCCAGTGATTAATATCATGAGCATCAATCCAAGTAATTGGGATCGATGACATGCATCAACCAAGTCAGCTAGCCTGACCACCCGATCCCGTTAGTCGCCTCTTAAGACAAGCATAGTCACCTTTTACGGCAAGCATGGGTTGCTGAAGACCTATTCTACCCTGGATCTTCACGGGTATGCTAAGATAATCGCAACTCCCATACTTTAACATAGACAATAATAGTGCTAAGATTGCTCTTTGGAACAGGGCCCAATACCATAAGAGCATTAGATAAAATAGATTAATAAGCAACTATTTCTCTGATTTGACCAATCACATAGAAGTTTTAATGATTAGATAACTCAAGATGTGTTTAGTTTTGTCACAAACCTTTGCACACAGAACATAACCATTATAAGGTGATAACTGTATTTTACATGTTTTTGGTTGAGCCTTTTTCATGGGTTTTCTCATATTTCCAGATTTCTTTTATTGTTGCACATAATTTTTTTTAAAATATTTCCTATATCTATATTTATCCATGAAGCACATTGTAGAGAACCAGGCCAATTATCATCTCCTGACTACTTGTTACTGTGCCCGCAATGTCTGGTGAAAACTGATGTCAAGAAACCACTTATTGCCAGGTTTATTTGTACACGGATTGTTTCCTTCTGCAGGATATCGGTCTCCATGTCGTGGACTTTGAGGGGTTTGTGGCCTCTCTCAACAACCAAGGCTTTCTGCTGAAGAAGGGGGCCAAGGTGTACCAGCTGCAGACACATGGATACTGATGTGACACCAGCTGCAGACACAAGGATACTGATGTGGAATCATCTTCCTGAGGCAAGCGTGTCCACTAGCCTATATCATAGCCTAGTTTCTCCCCTTGCCACATCAAGGCCACTTTTCTTGGTTTAACCCTGGCTGTATAGATCCAAAAAGATGGCGACTATGATAGGCGATGACCTAGTCGATCAGATAACGAAAACATTCGCGATTTCATCCCTGAAACATAGGCAATCGTTGGAGGGTTTAAAAGATGAAAAAGACACATTCGTGTCAACAAACACAGGCAGTGGTAAATCACTTTCAGACGAAGGTGTACCAGTCGTGGATGTTGATTTTGTGACACGTTCTCTGATTTGACTATTGATAAGTGCGACAGTTCAAACATATTTAGCTTGATGTGGCAAGGGTGGGAACAAGACTTTGATCAAAAGGCTAGTGGACACTCTTGCCTCGGGAAGATGATGTGGAATAGATGCATCATTTCACCTGCTACCTGTGATACACAATGTGATTGACTATATTATGACAGTTGGACTGTAAACCTGTACAGGAATCATATACAGAGGTTGAGACTTTGTATACACAAATAAAACCATGCTTGTAATTGTTGTTGTGGAAAGTTTGTGAGTGCGACTGAAACACTTCCATCAGTGAGTGAATGTTTGATGCTGCAGATTCTGACCACCCAATCCATTATGTCACTTCTCACAACATCGTATATTGATGGGGACCTACCGTATATGCCGTAATAAGCACCCAGGGTGCTTAGAAACTTGACAAAGGGGGGCACTTATTAAAACCATATACAATGAACAATGAGTTAAATTTGTTTTCATAATAGTAACAAGGCAATAATATTCCCTTTCTGCTTTCCTGCTTTCTGTAAAAAAATACTGGTATGTAATAGATCTTGACACAAGAATATGGACTGACGTGTAAATTTTCAGTCTTGGTACCGGTCATTTATAAAGATTACTGACAGATTGGTCTAGAAGTTGGTAAGGGAACACTTTTGGAGCAGGGTGCTTAATATGCTAAAATTGACCTTTTTCTGTTATTACAGAATAAGGGGCAGTTATTCTGTACACAGATTAACTATCACCACAACAAATGCACATGTGATGTGGTGTAAAACTTTATTTCATACATTCAAATCACAAAACGGTGTGACACTTAATATGCTTTTAATTCATTGTTGTTCAGTCCACTATCATTGCTAATGATACTCAGTATGTAACTAGAGAAATAGATAGAATATTTATAATAATACAATGAATGTATAATGGACGGTTATCACATTTTGCATGAACACAAAATCTGTTCAGTTGGCACACTGGATGAAGAATGATGTAAAACTGATGACAACTGGATGCAGGAGCCACAAAAACTAACAACTTAAATTAGATGGTCAGAAACAAGAAATGTGTGAATGTTTGTAAAAATAGTACCATGGCACTTTAGCTCATGTGGATATGTAGTCAACACTTCAAAATGTCAAGATGGCCAGTTAACAAAAGTTTTCACATATTTCTGAATAAATAGTGACGACAAAGTATTAACAAATTTTAAACAACTACTAAATTACTACATTTCTTTCTAAACCTGGGGGCACGGGTGGCCCAGTCGTCTAAGGCGCCGTGATTCGCTGTGCAGAGTTGTGTCCCTTGGGCATGCCAGAAACCTATGATTGTGGGTTCGAATCCCGTTTCGGCCCAATTATGTTTCTAGGTTTGTCAGCACCATACCCGTGCTCGTGGGTTTCACCGAAGTGGTAAATGTCCGGCATCACTTCAGGCTTTCCTCCCACATTAAGCTGACACGCCGCGATATAAGTGGAATACTGTTAAAAGCGGCGTTAAACCCAACTCACTCACTCACTTTCTAAACCTTCACGGATGAAAGTACTATTGAAGAATAATGTTGCAATACATAACATTTAAATTTACTTTACACAGACCTTCAATTCTGAACTTTATATACCTTCTTAGGAGAGTATTTTTCTGAGGCCAAACAATGTTTTCCCATGTTTCACAAGAACCACACTAAAACCCTAAATATTTCAACAAGTTACAATGTCAAAACAAGGAGAAAAATACAGCTTTTTCAGCTATTTCAAAGGAGATGTTTGCAGAGCCAAAAATGCATTTAAACAGAAATGACTGAGCAGTGGCCATAGATAGGTTTTACAATATTTCTGCTGTGCTGGCTATATTGAAAATCGATTCAAACCTCTTGAAACAATTCAGGTGTTATCAAGCATGAGAGTTCACTGGTCCAGTGCTTTCCAAGGAGAGGAATGAGGAATGGTATGGTGGTGACCAAGGATCATGACCAGGGTTAATCTGAGATTCAAACCAATGATCAGCTGATTCTGACACAACGAGGGGATGTAACTGTGCAGTGCAGGCCATTCTATCGCTGACACGGATGGCCAAAAATCAGAGCTTTCAACAGATTGCGAAGGAATATTTATGACAACAGTAACAGTAAGAAGCCAGGATTGATGATAAATGATGTTGGAGATGTAGTTTAAGTGACAAGGTAGCCAGTTTGTTGGCTTCACAGTCAATGTAGAAACCTGCTAGATATTTACATAAATCACTTCTTGACAAGTCTCTGGAGATCACAGATTGCTTCATGGACATCCTGTTGCGATTTCAGTCGAACCCGTGATAAACACCAACGTCTATTTAACATATCTTTTTTAACACCAAGATTACCAAGCAAATCCTCCTCGGATGGGGTTTCTGAAAGGAGAAATTATTTGAGGGAGTATGAAATATTTAACAGAACAATGTAACTTGTTGCTATAAATAAAGATCTTATAAATATAATACAACTTGCACACCATAATGTTTCAATAGATTTTTTTCTCCATTTTGCACTAATCAGATATCACAATCACAGTGTAGACTAAGTCTGTTTCAACACAGATTTTTAAAATCTAAATACAAAAATATTGCCAGGCTGTAATAAGCACCCACAGATTGTGTTGTTTGAAGCAGCAGGCCCTGGCTAAATGAAGTTTCTTTTATGACAAATATATAGACATATACTGCAGGCCATAAGGACACATTCAATTTTGAAACTACAGGCCTGACATGAGAGATCTATCTGCCACTGGACTACAGTAACATCAGAGATCTATCTGCCACAGCCCTACGGTAACATAAGAGATCTATCTGCCACTGGACTACAGTAACATCAGAGATCTATCTGCCACAGCCCTACGGTAACATAAGAGATCTATCTGCCACAGGCCTACGGTAACATGAGAGATCTATCTGCCACAGGCCTACGGTAACATGAGAGATCTATCTGTCACAGGCCTATGGTAACATGAGAGATCTATCTGTCACAGGCCTATGGTAACATGAGAGATCTATCTGTCATAGACCTATGGTAACATGAGAGATCTATCTGCCACAGGCCTATGGTAACATGAGAGATCTATCTGTCATAGACCTATGGTAACATGAGAGATCTATCTGCCACAGCCCTACTGTAACATGAGAGATCTATCTGCCACAGGCCTATGGTAACATGAAAGATCTATCTGCCACAGGCCTACGGTAACATGAGAGATCTATCTGCCACAGGCCTACGGTAACATGAGAGATCTATCTGCCACAGGCCTACGGTAACATGAGAGATCTATCTGCCACAGGCCTACAGTAACATGAGAGATCTATCTGCCACAAGCCTACGGTAACATGAGAGATCTATCTGCCACAGGCCTACAGTAACATGAGAGATCTATCTGCCACAAGCCTATGGTAACATGAGAGATCTATCTGTCATAGACCTATGGTAACATGAGAGATCTATCTGCCACAGCCCTACTGTAACATGAGAGATCTATCTGCCACAGGCCTACGGTAACATGAGAGATCTATCTGCCACAGGCCTATGGTAACGAGAGATCTATCTGCCACAGGCCTACGGTAACATGAGAGATCTATCTGCCACAGGCCTACGGTAACATGAGAGATCTATCTGCCCCAGGCCTATGGTAACATGAGAGATCTATCTACTACAGGCCTATGGTAACATGAGAGATCTATCTGCCATAGACCTATGGTAACATGAGAGATCTATCTACCACAGGCCTATGGTAACATGAGAGATCTATCTGCCACAGGCCTTTGGTAACATGAGAGATCTATCTGCCACAGGCCTATGGGCAGGTGTTTATTTTGAAACTGTTTCATAGCTGTGTGAAAAATGTATAAAAGTCCTCTGTTTAATAACTTTTGAAAGCCATTTTGTTTCATTGTCAGATGGACTGTCAAAACATTACCATAATTCATAATGAGAAATAGAATCTGATCCAATCACGATATGATTATTTAGATGAGAACACAATCAAAATATCAAAATATCTTACCATGTTCTTTCATTTGATTCGCGACTATCATTAAGGGGACATCTTGCACAACTCGCTCCTCTAGCAACAACTGAAAGTCGTCTTTGGCTTGTGTTAAGTCTGTGTTGGCATTGTAGACAAATACAAGTCCCTGTGTTCCTTCATAAAACTTTCTCTTTCTGTGATGTCGGAGGGCCCCACTTAGATCCCACACGGTGAACCTGACCCCCGACTTGGACTCCAGAGTCTCCACATTAAACTCCTCTGTTGGCTTCGTTGAATGGACGCCCTCTACTTCCAACAACCAGGAATATAATAAATAGGTTTTCCCTGAAAACAGACACAACCTGTATCATTTCAAGAAAACTTTGTTTGATAATAGAGATGTCCACTGGTAAAATCTCGTATTCAAACAGCAACTTGAATTGTGGTGTATTGGTGTCTTCTATACTAACCGCCAAATGAAATGCGAACCATAAAAATACATAGAGAAGTATGTACATTAAGAAGACATGTTTCCAATGTTAAATAACAAAACTAACAGTCAGTCAAGTTTTACTACACAGTGACTTTATTTTCATCATGACATGCTGCATGTGATTTCCAAAATTTACTCGCTAATCCTGCATGAAACAAATGGTCCATCTCAAGTCATCTACAATGTATGCTTGACTCTAATGTACACAGTACCTTGGCTAAGTTCCCCTGCGAATCAGATGCACTATAAATTGCATTACTAGTATTAACTAGGGGTGAAAAGAGACATTGGCGCACTGGTGCATCGTGAGGTTTTACGCGAAGATACGATACACAATAGGTTTTTTTCTGTATCGATACAAACCCATACACTTGCTAAAGTTACTAACTTGCTATTCGTTTGATGAACCAGAGCGTTTTTGTCAGTCAAATATCACAAAATATGTTGTAACTAGGGCTTCAAGTTCAATGCTAATAATAGTTGCTAAGAAGATGTGTCTACACAAAGCTTTTCCTTTTGAACCTGCTCAGAAATATCTATAGTCAAGAAGTTTCCATGCTACTTAAGGTAAACATGCTTATCGTGATACCTATTGTATTGTGATTAGTGGAGTTGTTAAACACGGCATTCAGCAGGGTTAGAAATTATGTCTTATTTTCACGAGTCTGCAAATGATCCACAGAGTTGCTATCTACCCATTATATCATTAATGGTAAATATGGTTGCCCACCAGGAAATGTCACTAGTCGTTCCAGAATTTTACTGGTCTCAAACTAGCAGACATATTTTAATTTTGCAACCTGAGCCAGCAATATCCCAATCAACCAGGTGACACACTGTAACTGACTGATCTGAGTGTTGCTGGTCATTGATGTGTTTTGTGGTGCTGAGGTTCTCTATATTAGAGCACATCAAAGTCAGGTTTCTTTTGATTGGACTGTCGCTTCAAAAACAGCTGTGCAGCAGATACAGTGCCTGTATACACCTGTCACAGAACGTGTGGTTACTCTGTATTGGTTCGTAGTTAGTTCACCAACTTCTTTGAGAGAGTTAGCGAGAGTGGTCTAATGCTGCTTTGAACAGTATTTTCAGATATGGGCGTGGGAGGACTGCTCCACATGATGAAGTTCTTAGATAAGATGTTTACAACTTTGGTGAAAGCAGCGGGCTAAGGTATGGTGCTTAAAAACCAAGAAACATAATCAGGGTGAACTTGGGATTCAAACCACGGTCATATTTTTCTAGCATGTTCAAGGTAAGCACCGCGGAACAGCGAATTTAAACAACTTTGATTGGGCCACTCGTGTCCTCATCATCTTTAAAGTTTGAGGAGCTTCTTGTCCTGTCTAAAATAAAAAAATGCGTTGATCATCGATAGATATTTTTGGCCTCTGTTGAAACTAATGACTGATTAATGACCTAACTCCTAGCATATTAGTTTTTGCTAAATACTGATCGTTTACAGGTAATCACCCGCATTACTTGGCCCCAAAATAAGAACTTTGAAAGGCGTTGTTTCGTTGTCCTGTAACGATGCGGTTGATGCTCTAATGACGTTGTTGTCTGAGCTACATCCAGTTCCCATCAGCGTCCTTGTACCCACTGTGTTTGATAAATCATCTCATTACCAGCTTTGTTTACATTAATAAACACTGATCAGTAAAATAAGTTGGCGTGCTTAGTTACCGGAAGCACATGCGCCACCTACTTTTACTTTTAGAGTTGCGCCCCTTGCATTTGCGCGCCATTTTTCTAAATAAAGAAAAAGCACGTTGTACTTTTGAAACATGTTATAAGTTACTAAAGAAACATAAACAAATTAATTAAACAATGTATATATATTAATACAAACGGATTATATATTAAACGTAGATTAAGGTTATTAAACTCCACGGTGTTCATCAGCGCCCGGCTAGCTCAGTCGGTAGAGCACGAGACTCTTAATCTCGGGGTCGTGGGTTCGAGCCCCACGTTGGGCGGATTCTTTTTGTCCCTCCAGATGGTGAAGGTAACTTGTTACAAATGAAGTTACCTCCATAAACACAAAACACGTCAACTTAACCTTCCAACAGCGGATATTGACAGTAAATTACGTATCCATTTACAGGGTTGTAGACATATATTTAACAAAAAGTATTACTTAGGACCGGTCATTTATTACAGGGTTGGGTGGGTCAGTGGTATTTGATGTACTGAAAATAATGACCCACTTAATACTCTTGTATATTAACTAATAATGCTACGTAATGCAAAATGGCCATTTGTCATCTTATGTTTGTTTAATGAAAGACAGCACACATTTCTTAATCGGTACAGAAGAGTCTTAGAGCTTCCAATGACACTCTAACTACTGTGAATTAATTATCAGGACTAAAAATGAACTTTGATATAAGAAAGGCTAGTCGGATGTCAGGGAGTAATATATAACTGTAATTTCACGTTGACTGGCACTCGGAAGAGTTGGACGCATAAAAAATGAAAATTATCACATATTTGAAAGTTCTTAGAGTTTGTAATACCAGGGTAAGACTGCAAAATGACTGCAAATCTCCTTCCATTGTTTCTTGCCTCCCCCTTGGTAGTACAAATTGCAACTTTTCGGTGTCTTTTTCTTTTCTTTTTTTAAATATATTTTGTTCTTAAAGGTGTTCATTCTTGCTTGCTTCAACACTCCATTCACAACACTATCCTAAATTTTATTATTATATGTTCATTTTGAAATGACCCTATAAATAATCGAGTCTGGACCAGACAACCCAGTGATTGACATCATGAGCATCGATCCACGCAATTGGGATACGATGACATGCATCAAACAAGTCAGCGAGCCTGACATTATGGTATATATTGTTAATACATATTACGTTTATAAATAATGATTGTGCAGGATGCATGTGTAGTGCAGATTATTAACAAGTGATATATGAAGGTCGTGGTACATTTATAAATATATGATTTGTAGCGTTATTATGACAGTAGTTACTGAAACGTTGTCAATGCTGGGCATTTTGAGTTTAAGTAATGTGGGTGAGCTAGAGGATAAGTACTAAACTGTGATATTTACACAGAATATATTATTGGTTTAAAACATAAAAAAATATACCCATATAAACGCAGAATAAATATAACTGAGACTAACAAACAATGTGTAATAAAATACAAGCAACATGAAAGAATAAGAATTATTAGGTAACCCTTTTCCCTTGAAGATCTTCAGTTTAGTCTGGCTTCGAACTTTGGAGGAATGACAAGATAACATCATCGTCATTCGACACAGTCAGTAATCAACAAGAAAATTTACAAAGATAATGTCAAACATTTCATTTCTTTCATGCATTTTGACAGTACAAAACATACTTTTGTGTTTCACAATGTCATGGGCCACAGTTTCATTGCGACATCCCCTAGATTATATTATACACACACGTACGCACGCACCAAAACTTGAAGTTGGAAAAAAGTGAAAAATGATCACCAACTCAAAGCGTCAAGAGGATTTGTGGGGCGCTTCACTCAGTCTTTCAATACAATGCTTTCTTGCTCGTCATTCAAAAAACATGTCACAGTCTACGTCGTTTGCCCCTTTCTTCTGTGTGTAACAGTGCTTCCTTTAAAAGTGTATACTTTGTCCAAAGTAAAGCGTATATGTGTTATGACACATCGGAGTGAGTGAATGTTGTTATCCGACGTAGCCAACAAAAACCTGGACCAACAAACCAACAAAAGTACGTAAACAGTAGGAACACATGCTTTGCAAATCTGCAATCGACCGAAATCTGCACGGCAGTTTACGAACCATATGTCGATTTCGTTCCTGCCTATTTGATTGGACTATACATTGACCCGTTAGTCCTGCCAAAATGTATCGCCATAATTCCAGCCTGGTTCGGCAAGGGTGATAATTGGAGTTTTATAGTGAGTTAACTCCCTTGCCTCGGGGAGATGGAGTGTATCGTAAGACCATGTCAACCAGAGAATATTTATGACTACCACCGTTTTAATTCGTAGAACACGTGTTTGTTTTAATTTTCGGCTTAACCTGTGAACAATCGCCAGCATGAGGGACAGTGTAAATCATGCTGGGGTACCATGCAGGTTGCAGGGGTACCTGAAGTCCCCATGGCCCTTGTGCAGTGGCCTTACCTTAGCTGCTGGTGATCAATAGCCTGTTATTATGTTGAAATGTCAAATAATAGTCATAGCTTTCAATGCTCTAATACTCGTTTTAAAACAAAACTGTGACATGCTAGTTGTTATACTGTCCATCGCTGACAGATTTTAACTATAACAATTATTTTTTTTATATTTATACTGTTACAAGGCAATATTTGCGTCCTGCCATTCGAATCGTGCTCAAAACACAGGTATCGTGGCGAATCGGCTCAGGTTATTAATCACAATCGAATGGAGATTTAATACATTGGATAAACGAGGGTGATATTTTATGCGACCGGGGTCCACTTGCTGAAAGCTATCTTACCGTCTCGATAATCGTAACTCCCATACTTTAACAAAGTCTTACGATAATCCTGGCGCTAAGATCGCTTTCTACAATCGGGCCCAGGGCCCCGTTCCGCAAAGCGATCTTAGCAATGCGACTGTTAAATAATGTTATTTACGAAAGTGTTAGTACTAAGATCGCTTTGTGGAACGGGCCCCTGGCTGATTATATATCTTGCCCCGACGGTGTGGGTCGAAATTGCTTACTGGTGTGCTTGGTCAATGGTCAAGAATCGATTATTTGCAGATACCGCTATTTAACTAGAGTATTGACTGCAGCGTGCAGCAGTATTCACTCACTCACTCACTCCTGTGTAATGTGGACCATGAGTGGAGATTACAAGAGAAGCTAAATAAAGCCATATTTTCAAGATAAGGAAGGCGTTTTGTTCTACGCCGCAGTCAGCAGTATTCCAGATATGTGACAGCACTCGAATATTCAGTTTATACGGTGGCCCATAAGGGACATGGAGTCTGTTTTTCAATATTTTGATGTTTCACTTACTTTTATCGTAACCTTTTGCAAATTAACACAATTTGCCATACAAATATGTGATAAATCATGTATAAAAACATCCGAAAACATGGAAAATGTACTTTCAAGTAGCTATTGAGTCGCTGAAATGTGAAGCGAAGATGTCAAAAACTAAAATGGAAATGTCAAAAACCAAAACGAAAAGGTCAAAAACTAAAATAAAAATGGCAAAAACACAAAACGAAAATGTCAAAAACTAAAATGAAACCATAGAAAACTATTTCCACCGCGGTGTAAATATTATCACCGCGGTGGAAATAGTTTCCTGTATTTTCATTTTAGTTTTTGACATTTTCGCTTTTGTTTTTGACATTTTCTTTTTAGTTTTTGACATTTTCGTTTTTGTTTTTGACATGTACATTTTAGTTTTTGTCATTTTCGTTTTGTTTTTCAGCGATTCAATATCTTCTTTACACATGATTTATCACATATTTGTAAGACAAATCGTGTTAATTTGCAAAAGGTTACGATTAATGTAAGTGAAATATCAAAATATGGAAAAACAGACTCCATGTCCCTTATGGGCCACCGTGAGTTTAGGCTAGAGTATTGGTGAATCAGTTTTCTGTTGAAGTTTATGCACATCTATGGCTGGAACCTGGATGGATGTTTGCTGTTTGCCATTTTTTTTAATGAAACGTTTAAGATATTACATCCAGCCTTTATCGTGCACATTAAAATATTTTTCTGTTCTTAATGACCGTTTCCGTGGTCTGGTGGTAGAGCGTCCGTCCGGGTTTGGATCCCCGGCCGCGTCATACTAAAAGACGTTAAAAGACGGTACTTGTTTTTACCCGCCTGGCGCTGAGCTTAGGGAATAAAACAAGAACTGGTCGGCTCGGAGTCAGTATACTGTGTCTGAGTTGGACATTCATGTTTAACTGCCGCATGGTATCTCAGTGGGCAAGCACTATCAAGTCGGCATTAGTCCGGACTAGTTCACGTAGCCACACACACATACGCGCGCATGCACGTCGCTATATAAGGGCAATAATCTTGAACGCTTCGTTGAACCCCATTTCACCTCACCTCTTTTTTTCTAAATCGCCAACAGTGATTCACATTGAATGATTGTAAGAACATCGAGCAACAAGTTTAAACGTTACGCAACTTAAGCCTGCAGTCCAAAAAGATATCGTCATTTGTTTACATTCATACCCCAGTTCCGGTGTCCCCTGTGGTGATTTTGCTGGAATATTGCTTAAAGGGGCGTACAAACCATTCTCACTCACTCACTCGCATGCATTACGGTGCAAGTAAGCGCATACGGGCTGTCGACATAGGACTGTGTGATGCACGTGCGTTTCCTGATATATATGTCTATATTTTGAGCATGGTGGAGAACGGGTGATATTAAACCATTTCCCGTGCATATCCTCCTCTGCGTACCACATATTCTGACATGAATAAAGTGACAAATTAATACAAAACAATATTATTTAGCCCCGAGCTTACGTGAGATTATGTGAAAAGTCCAGTCTAATAAACTTGTAGCAGCTGTGTACACTGATATGATATGATATTGGATCCAAGAACTCTAGATGTTGGGGGTTGGCACATGGAAGAAAAGACGAAAACTATATTTCAACCATCCAGCGTACTGCACTACGGTATTCAGAATACCACTGAACAGGGCTCGGTATCCGGGTACCAAAATGGAGTTGC